AGAACAACTTGAGTTTATCAAAAACTGGTGCAAAAAGTAGAGGACAAGACACCACGACCATACTTCGAAACCAAAGATATATCGATTTCCACGTAAGTCATATCACTGTCCTAGTCCATAAATCATGAAGTCACTTAGGACTGTACCTATACAACAGAATGACGTGAAATCCCATACAAGACTTAAGACAGCAATTTAACAGAAGACTTGGACAGCTAAGAAATCTTTTCGAACATCAGTTTGTTTTGAGAATCAAAACTGAACTAACTTTATACTAGACATTACTGCGGCCACTTTGGACAAACGAAGTTGAATTGTTGGGTTACGCCAAACCAACCAAAACGCATTCAATCCTCCTCCACTACCCTGCCATGGGCCCCTGAACATTGGTGCGATGAGATGGCGGATATATTGACCAAAAAGGAACCAGTACGAATTCTCTAGGTCCCGAATCCTACTGTGGCCTTAGCACCTTGCCACAAAAATGGATTCTTAAAAAGTCCAAAATCTGATGGATGTGGCCTAGGCTTTTGAAAGTGTCTGGCAGCCAGCATCCTTTATAAGCTTAAACATTATCAGACCGTTATAGCGGCGTCCCCCAAAATAGAATTTTTTGTTACATACTGTGTACCATATATACGGCCGACTTACTTAAGAGTTATGGACTTCCACTCAAGTCAGATACTTATGGCTAAATTCAGGAATCCCCACACAAGACTTAACGGACAGCTTAACGACTTGGACAAATACGGAGACATCTAAGGTGGGAATCTGATTTGAACGTCAAAACTGACCAACATTATACAAGACATAATTGCCATCCAATATCCAAGCATCAATCCTATCAAAAGTACTCAGATAAATTATCAAAGCTCTTTACTCCCTCACTGGCCTCACTACCTACAACTTCGACATTCAACGAGCTGATCCGATCTCTCTTCCGAAACTTCTACATCAGCTTTCGATTCATTCTAACCCTACTACCCAAGCCGTAACCACACCCTTTCATCGTGAGAACATGCCACGTATCCTTACACTACTACGATGGCCTCAAGAACCAAATTTTATTTCACTTCATTTCTAAGGCACACTAAATTTTTCCATTTTGTAAACGGATTTATAATCCTTAAAATAATCAAATTCATGCTAATTGATATACAAAATCGTTAAAATAAATAAAAAATACTAAATAAATTATATTCTGTCGTTAATTGTTTTAGTTGATTTGTACGAAAGAAGGTCTCTTATGCTGACGGTCTTATGAAGTTATGCCAAGATAAAATATGTTATTTATAATTTTTTTTTTCAGACAAAGTACTTCGTCGTAAGCCTGATTGTTGAATGAAAATACGTTCAAATTGGATTTTATTTGCTTTTCAAATGACGTGTTTGTTCCCTTTGGGAAATAACATGGTTAGCGCTTTCGAATGCGCGTGTATTTATAATCCAGAAGGACACATTTGACTTGAAGTTGGCCTCAAGCAATTTAAATGAATAGTGCCTAATGAATGTCAACTGTGTTTTTATGTATTATGCTAAGCCGAGCATTAGTCCAACGTGGTGTGATTAAATTTAAATAGCTAACGTATTAAATTAATTTTTTGTTCTATAAAACAATTGTGCGAGTAATTACTAATTATTGTGTATATCTACGTTTTATCCCTTTTACATTACAATGTTCTATTGTATACCTTGTGTTTTGTATTTTGTGTTTTCCATCGTATATTTTCCAGAATCCAACACAACATATACTTTTTTTTTAACTCACTCCCTGAGGTGCTGACCCTAGCGAGTTAGGTTCCAGGGATTTTCGACAGCTAGTTATTTCAGCCCCGAACGTATGCAAAATGCAATCTAGCCTAAATACAGAGTACAATCTTACAAATTAATACATAAACAAATACACCCCTATATACATTGCACTCATTCTGGTACTCGGTGAAGAACTCCGGTATTAATAAGCTAACTTAAGTTAGAATCAATGGAGAACTTTTATACATATTCCTCCATCGAAGCTAAACAGTCAGTAGTGACTGGAGGGGTGACGGTGACTCTATATTTCACAGTCAAACCCTCATCTTTTGCACTAATAAATACACGCACTCAAATAAAACACAGAACCACAAAACACACAATATTGAATGAATATTCCTGAAGTCAATTCATTCAATTCTGTGTGTCTTGTGGTTCTGTGTTTTATTTGAGTATGTGTATAATAAATGATGAGGGGTTGACTGTGACATGTAGACATATAGAAGTGCACTGAATGTAAATAATTTAAATTAAATTGAGCCAAGATTTTTTTTTTAGATTTTACAAAAGTTGCTTTTCCCTTTTGTCATTCCTGTATGTTTATAACAATTAGTTTTGAAATACTGCGTACTGAATAGTCGTGGTAATTAATTTGTACATTTTGACTGGGTTATTTTCACATTTGCATGCAGTTGTGGTTTTATATTTAAACATTTTTTTTTTTACTTTAATCTTCACGCATTTTTAAAAAAACATGGAGTAAGTAAATTTAATTTCTAAAATGATTTATGGATCAAATTGTAAATAAATGTAGTATTTGTTGGGAAAGCGTGTTTTCACAATAACTCCTCGCACTATCGGTACATTTTTATCATCTGATATTCATTATTTTTTAATAAACGTAGATTGAATTACAAATTAAAGAACGTATAAGTTCTGACTAATAAATTCTCTTACTTTTTATGGTTATTATTTGTCCCTTATTTATTAAGTAACTTTTATCTTCATACCAGTATATGATTAATACTGTACTTCACACACCACAATTCATTCACACTATCACAGAGTACTCGATATTCCTCGGAGTAATTAAGTTTAAGTCTTTCCTTCGGGGGATTGGAATATTTATTGCAATTGTCTTGCGATTTTTTGGGGAAAGTAAGACGATGTCGGGTGTTACAAGGAAGAATATGGAAATTTAAATGGGATCAGGACAGTCAATAAGGTTATGCAACAATTCGTAGACGAAGGTCAATGTTAAGTCTGCGAGAATAGAGAGGTTCCAGTCAATTCATGGAGAAGTTCATAAGGAGTAACACTTCCAAGTTCGCTTACAGGTTCCGAATAATACTTCTGTGTCCAAGAATAAGGGTTTTTAGAGTAAAATTAATCAATAAGAATTACTTAAATTTACATTAATGAGATTATTACAGTCAAGGGTTTGAGTTGGATTTGCGAATACAATAAATCTTAAACGTAAGTTGGCTAATCAAAAAATAAAGATTTTTGAGAACCTGCGAAAGTAACAAATAGCGTTATAATAATATTCATCTAGACGCTGTATTCATATAACGTATGTAGCTATCACACTCATCAATTATATTTGGTCAAGCATTTTAATGGTAGGGTTGGAAAGGAGAAATTCGCTAAATTGTTCGCTAAAAAGGGACAATAGTAATTTTGAATTTGTGGAATGGATGAGTGAATTTGTAGACTACCTAAACGATGAATGTTGGAAAGATGTAATCAATTTCCCAAAAAGAAGAGAGACCTAGCGATATAGGTATATAGGTTTTTTCCGTCAAAATACCCTTTTAACTTCAAATTAACTTTTTATAATTTCAAACTAACTCTGTTTAACTTTAAATTAAATTAACCATTTTAAATTTAAAATTAACATTTTTTAATTTCAAATTAACCCTTTTTTAACTTTAAATTAACCGAAATTAACAGAACACTCTCGCACGTCACATAGCCGTGACATCTACACAGAAAACACACACTTTGAGCCCTGAAGATGATCTCAATAAAGATCGAAACATAGGCATGATAAAGAAAATGTTTTTCCAAACTATATCACACCAGACCGCACCTCACGACCTCTAAATAATCTTTAAATTAACCCTTTTTAATTTCAAAATAACCCTTTTAACTTCAATTTGACATTTTTAACTTCAAATTAACCTTGTTCAGGTTAAAAAGAATAATTAGATATTAAAAAGATTAGTTTGGTAGGAATAAGTATATATTATATTTTTTATGCGGTTCATGTTTTATATTAAGATCTAATTTGTTTTTGTTTTTAATTTCTGAATTTTTACATTTAATTGTATATAAATTTTAACTGTAACTGTAATGTTCAATCTTCTAAAAGCCGAATTATTTTTTATTTAAAAAAATTAGCAAATTTATTGCTTTAGAGAAACGATTAATTTGAAGTTAAAAGAGTTAATTTTGATGGAAGAAAGCTATATGCATTTTTAAAAAAATAAATACAGAATTTTCTCTCTCTCTCTCTCTCTCTCTCTCTCTCTCTCTCTCTCTCTCTCTCCAGATAACCCCTCCTCACCCCTCGCCTATCAAATGGACAAGAGTGGGTCTGTCAATATTTGTCGTTAAATTTTATTTAACGTACAATACATTTGTGTAAGATTAAAAGACCAGACTGGCTAATCGACCCACGGGTAGTAGGTGGAGGCGGAGGGTTTTTATCGTGGAACCGTGCCACTCCGGCCATTGTAAATGGGCAAAATTTAGTCAGAAATGACAAAATACGTGTGCCGAATGTTAAGTGGGAAAAAATAATTAATTGCAATTTCCTCGTCAGGCGACGCCCCCACTCCGTCGGCCAAGTGCATTGAATAAGAGGCGTTTCATTTTCGTAACCGCGTTTATTGATCAGCGGAGTTGTTCCAAGATGGCGATCGTGACCGGTTCTCGCAGACGAGCCGCAGGCCACTCGCGTCCAAAAAAATTCCAAAAAGTGTGTTCAAATGTGTTGTAAAATTCTCGAATTTGTCCTATTATCGTAGGAGAAGAAGAGACGGAATCTGACCAAAATACATTTCTTACTCGCAGATTTTTTTTTTCACTTATTCGGTTTTCAAGCATTAATGCCCATCATCAGCTTGAAGGAGTCACAAATACGTCACTCGACATGAATTGTATAAGTGAACCCGCCGATATCGCCGATCGATCTAACAATTCATGTCGAGAGACGTGTTTGTGACTACTTCAATCTGATGACGAGGGTTTAATTGCTCGAAATCCGGTATCGTTGAAAACGACAAACCGAGAATAAGAACTATGATTTGGAAAGATTCATACCCATACTCACCCCACCTTCATCACGTCTAAGAAGGGACGGAGTGTCAAACGGGTAATTCGTCCTATCACCGTTAGTTAGTTGCGCGAAAGGCCTTGGGAGTGGATCGCATTCTAAATCAAAGCGAGTTTAGTCGCTGCTCTGCGAGTGAGGCTGTCGGACCTCCACCACACAATGAACCAGCTCACGGAGGATAACGATGAGGTATTTCACGTTTCCTTTTATACATATTTATAGATTCTTTACAAATTCCCTTTTACCCCTGGTTTAGATATTCGATTTTTTTCAAATCAGCCCGGTTTAATTTTTTTTCCTCTCCTTGCCTCCGAGCCAGCTAAATCGTACTAGAACTAGTCTATTCATAGGGCCTCTTTTTTCTTATTTTTTTCTCTTTCTCTCTCTCTCTCTTACTCCTTCATATCAAGATCGCTTGTAGGATTTACAAACTTGGAATTTTTTTGTCAGCCTAAAGAAAACAAAAAATCTAATAAAATCGATGCTGCGGCGGATACCGGCTCGTACAATTGATATCCGGCCAAGCTTGATTTGAAGGCGCGCTTCAGTTGCGGCTAAAAATTCTCCCTGGTCTCGAAACGGCCCAATTTATTTACGCCCACTCGTCGTCTCGGTGACTTCCTTTTTTTTCTTTCTTTTTATTTATTTATTTTTTCTTTCTTTTTTCCTCAGCCGAATTGTAACATTGTAATCTTGCCCTTCCAGACGGGCTTGATACAGGGTATGTGTCATTTTGGGGGCTTTCGGCTAAGTCCCCTTGCGCGTTTCCACCCTGGATTTGACCTACACACATTTTAACTTTTTTCCAACCGGTCATTTATAAAGCTTTATAATAATAAAACAAAGTGTTTTCCTTCCAACCAGATTTTGTCAAATTTGTTTAAACTCTCTTCATTCAATATGTCAATGTTACTTTTTTCGTATTAATCCATATACATATGTTTAAGAGTCATAATTGACCGTATTAATTATTTAAATTAATTATGCTGTTTGATCTCAACCAAAGCCTTAACAAAAAGATACTATTTTTATTTACCTTATGAAGTTACTTTTTTGTTTATTTCGGCTCAAATCAATCCACTTCTCGTACAAAAAATGCTTAATTTGAAGTTGAAAAAAGGCCCATTTAAAGTTAAATAAAAAAGGGTATATTTGAAGTTTAAAAAACGATAATTTTAAGTTAATAAAGATTAATTTGAAATAAAAAGACTAATTTGAAATTAAATTAGGTTATTTGAAGTAAAAAAAGGTTAATTTTTACGGAAAAATTATTTTAATTTGGTATTTTGTATAACCAATTTTATATTTTTCTTAATTTGTCAAATTAACAGAAGAATCTAGTATTTTTATATTTAACTTTCGTTTCATTTTGTATTTTAACTTTTTTCGTCCAAGTTCCCTTGCACGTTTGAATCCTGAATTTCTTCCCCTTCAATACTTTACTATATATATTTAAAAAATTTAAGTTTCTAACGGTCATTTATAAACCTTTACAATACTGAAACGAAGTTCTTTCTTTCCAGCCAAATTTTGTCAAATTTGTTTAAACTTTAAAATCCATCCAATTGTCAACGTACTTTACTTTTTTATTTGGGCTCGCCGGAGTTCAACATCCTTGCTCAGAACAATTAGACTGCTTCTCTTACAAAAAAAAGTTAATTTAAATTTTAAAAAAGGCCAATTTGAAGGTAAAAAAGGGTTAATTTGAAATTAAAATAGGTTAATTTGAAGTTAAAAAACTTAAAATGTCAAATTAAATGGAAAATCTATTATTTTTATATTTAACTCTTATTTCATTTTATATTTTATATAATTTCTTTCGTCTAATTCCCCTTGCGTGTTTGGACCCTGAATTTCACTTACACACTTTTCTATACATAAAAAATTTAAAAGTTTCTACCGGTCGTTTATAAAGCTGTCTATAAGCCAAAAAAGTGCTTCCCGTCCAGCCACATTTTGTCATATTTGTTTAAACTGTATACTCCATCCAATATGTCAACGAACTTTACTTTTTTATTTTGGCTCGCCGACGCATATCCTTCCTCAGGTCAATTAATGTGCTTCTCTTACAAAAAAAAAAAGTTTATTTGAGGTTAAAAACGCTTCATTTAAAACAAAAAATTCAAATATATATAATTTGAAGTCAACAATTATTAATTTCAAGTTAACAAAAAGGTTAATTTGGCAGAAAAATATTTCATGTTTGGACCTTGAATTTGACCTGCATACTTTTCTACATATTTCAAATTTTCTACCGGTCATTTGTAAAGCTTCTGTATAATAGTAAAAAAATTACGTTCCTTCCAACCAAATTTTGGCAAATTTGTTGAAACTTTATATTCTTCATCCAATATTTGAACGAAGTTTATTTATTTATTATTATTATTTGGGACTCGTCGACGCATACGACCCTGCTCAGATCAATTAACTGCTTCTCTTAAAATTAATATGAAGTCAAAAAATATTATTTTGAAATTTAAAAAAAGGGTTGATTTGAAATTAGAAACGGTTAATTTGAAGTTTAAAAAAAACTGATAATTGAAATTTTTAAAAAAATTAAGTTAAGAAAGGTTAATTTAAAATTTAAAAAGAGAGACGTTTGGACCCTGAATTTGACTTACACACTTTTCTATATATTCAAAATGTTAAACTTTCTACCGCTCATTTATAAAGCTCTTTCTAATTATCAAAAAAAGGTCTTTCCTTCTAGCAGAATTCTGCTCAGATCACTTAATATGCTTCTCTTACAAAAAAAAAAAAAAAAAAAAAAAAGTTGGTGTTAAAAAAGGCTAATTTGAAGTTAAAAATGATTCATTGGAAATTTAAAAAGGGTTAATTTGAAGTTAAAAAAGGTTAATTTGATGGGAAAAAGCTACACATAATTTTTAATTTTAATCCTTCTACGAGCCTAATTATTTTATATTTAAACAAAAATTCGCAGGTATAAAATTTGTCTTAACTGTATACTCTTCATCCAATATGTCAGTCTAACTTTATTTATATTTGTTTAATTAGGGTCACCGATGCATTATATCCTTGCTCAGATATTTATTAAGGGGTTAATTTGAAGTTAAAAAAGATTAATTTGAGAGAAAATATATAACTTTCAATTTTAATTGTAATTGATTTTCATGTAGTATTTTATATAAGAGCCCATTTTATAATTTTTCTTTTCATTGTCAGATTAATAAAAGAAGAATCTATTATTTTTATATAACTTTTCATTTTAATTGTGAATAATTTTGTACGCTGTTCTATAAGCCTAATTATTTTATATTGAACTTTTATTATATATTTATTTTGCACCCAAAATTGCAATTGCACACTTTTCTTTATATTAAAAATTTAAAATTTTTAACTGATCATTTATAAAGCTCTCTAAGTAGTAAAAGAAAAAATGCTTTCCTTCCACCCAAAATTTGTTTAAACTTTATACTGTATTTCATCCAATATGTTAATGTAACTTTCGGGGGGGGGGGCTTGTCAACGCATTATCCCTTGCTCAAATTACTCAACTTCTCTTACAAAAAGACAAAATAATAACAAATATATAACAAATTTTCTATATTGTAAAAACAAACCACTTCAGTTTCAAATAACAATGACCATTCTGTGTTCTTTTTAGAGAGGAAAAATTTTTGGGTCATTATAAATTTTGATGATGTGTATATAGAAATAATATAACTCGCTCTATTTACACATTATTTCTTAAACCTTCATTGCAAAACTTTCTGTTATCGAAGTGAGCTATTCTGTGTTATAAAGTTAATCTGTTATGATAAAAGACTGATTCAACTTCTACTGATTTTTTTTCTTTAGTAGTTTTCTGATTATTTTATTATTTTATTTCTTTATTAATTTTTTTAAATAAGGACAACTCCTTACTCGAGGGAAATATTTGAGCTTGGTGTCCTCGTTTTGTGCCGGTATCAGCATTTAATATAATTGATTAATTTTTTTTATTATCTCATCAAACTTATCTTACAACTGCTTTGGTATCTAGTGTACACTAATTAAAAATGTTTTAAATTAGGAAAAAAATTACTTTGGTTGATGATTTGCCCTAGAAAGTACAAGATGACATAAAATACTCAATGAAGCTTTTGACCTAGAAATTTGCACTTTTACAATCTCAAGATTGATGTTTTCATGCCTAGTAATTTTTTCGTGTGGTTATTGTATATTTGCGTTTTTATACCAAGGACCAGAGAAACTAGCCGGATTAACATTTAACTGTGCCTTGAGCCGATGAGAGTAAATTATTACTAATTGCCACTAGTCTTCCACCTCCTTTCTGTGAAAATGGGCCAATGGATGCCATTTTATTGTACCACTAACAATTCAGTTTTTTGGCGGGCAACAACTTGCTAGGCTGAAAATTGTGAAATTCCCGTTAATTTTTATTGTGTTGTTAAACTTTAAACACATCATTGTATAAATTCATTTTCCCATCTTACATGTATTTGTATAATTGAAGCAATGTTTATAAATCCCAGGCTCTGAAGATGATGTCAATAAAGATTGAAACATTGGCACGATAAAGAAAATGTTTTTCTAAACCTACATCATACTAGACCGCATCTCACGATCTCTAAATAATCTCTACACTCATCTTTCTTTTTTAGGATGAAACTCTAAAGGGCAATTTAAATCGAGGTCAATGATGATAAGTGCACTTTATGTCCCGACGTTGTAAAGTGAAATAAAGGGTCCACAAAATGAATCTGGCTGTATTTCAGTCACTTTAAACTTAAAATAAAATTTCTAATTTTTAAGTACAACGGCTTTTGTGAAAATTGCCTATTAATCGGGTAATGATTGAACTCTTTTATCGAAATATCATCTACCTGCTTGGAATTTTTTTTGTCCCAATATTTAATTAAGAACTTCCTGCTAGATGAGTCAATTCTAAACGGTTTATTGATACGCCTTTTGTACTGCAAGTCTCCTAGGCCAAACCTAATTCACCCCAAGCCAACTCGTATATAACTATAGGGATAAAATTAGAATGTTCTTAATTAGGCTTGTCTATTTCCAGTTCAATATGAATATTTCATTCTCTAAATTTCACCATTCTGTATTCCTCATAAATTTGGTTAAAAGAGAATTTATATACATATATAAAATTGTACAATTTTGTATGATGAAGAGCAATGAATGTAATTAGTAATTAGCTAGTAATTTTTTTCTATTTTAAAGCACGGAACAATTTTTAGTCAGTAAATAAAAATTTTACAAAAGAAAAATTTGCTCCATGTCTTGATGTCGCTAGTTAAATAACTTGAAAATGAAAGTGTTGCAAAATCTTTACAACTTTAAAGATATCTACTTGGACCTTATCTTCCTCATTACATTCTCCTTTTCGTACACTTAGTTCTCACGTTTCGTGTAAAAAAATGGATTTGATCTGACAAGAAGCAAAACGAGAAAAAGGATAGAATGTTTTGGGTGATGCTGAAGAATGGAAACCTTGTTTAAACATTTAAACATGTATGCATCTAAACTTCTACTCCCATGTATAATATCACTGCCAATAACGAAAACCATGGATAATAGGAATCACCTTGAATCTCAGGCTTCAAACCATTTTCTTCTACCTGCATACTAATCAGACGCTTTCTGTATCACGTGTGCCAATCGCTAATGTTATGTTTGGGATTATGTACACATATTTCAGGTTGTTTCTTTAATAAGAAAAATACAATGTACGGTAATATATACAATAAAAAGTTTGTTCCACACAGGATTCTCACTTTCCTTTGGAACTCAACTAGGAGGGCAACTACAGATGAGTGAAAGCGCGGATAATGGATTTTTTTTTTTTTTTTTTTTTTTGCCAGGGGGTTGTAAAGGAAAATTATCAACCCCTACCACATATGTTTCGTGTTCAATAAAAAGACAATAAAAAGATAAATAATTAGTCAAACAATCTACAGATATAGTGGAATTAAACAATGAAAAAGGACAGTTAAAAAACTGTCCTTTTTTTATTAAAATCAAAGTATTACTGATTACTGATTCATAGAAGCTCAATTCTGTACACGCATAGACACGTGTACAGAGTTGAGCCTATCACTTCTCGCAGTCCTCCTCCGGCAAGCCTTGAGTCACTCACCTCGGGTGTTGGGAGTCCGGGGTCAGACCTCGGTCTTAACCGTCCAGCTGCTGAGGTTGGCTCCGGGGGCTATCAACAGCTAGGTCATTTCAGCACCAAACGCAATCAGTCTCCCACTCACTCTTAAATACTTTCTTTCTTATTTACATACCATTCACTCAGGGTGGAGTACTCAATATTCTACCATTGACCCTCTCACACTCATTATACATTCATGCCAATAAATACATTCACTCTTAACACTGAGGACTCAAAACGGTCAATTTATAATAAAACAACCCCCCCTCCAAGAATCGGAACAGGGGACCTAGATACTCGCAGCCATTCTCATATCAGCACGCTCTCTATATGGAGCCAAGGAATTCATCTAGCAACCATATTTCAGTAATGTTTTCAAAATAAATAAAAAATAAAAATCATTTCTGAAAAGAATATATTTACACATGAATTACGTGAAGTTTAAAAAAAAGTTGGTTTGGCTATCGGGGTCATAGATTTGAACTAAACACCCATAATTCATCCAAACAAGACATTTTAATTACTGAAATGACGTCATTCGCATCATATCTTCATTTTTGTGTTATATAATTTAATAATGAATAAACAATATCAATAAATTTGTATAAATAAATTGAAAAATTACTCTTAAGTGATTAGAAAGTTGAATTGTTTTCATTAAATTCTAGTATTTTAGCTTAAAAAATTGGGATTTCCCATATATCTTAGTACTTATTAATTTGAGTGATATTATGTAGCTTCTATTAACAATAAATACTATCTTATCTAAAAAATATTGTTAAATTAGGTGTAATCTCTTGCGAATATTAATTTACTTTTATCAACTATTTGATATCTAATATTCTGTATTTCAGTTTAAATAAGAATTAAAAGGAGTTTAATTTCCAATAATACTTTCATTGAGTGATACTAGTTGTTGGCCAATCAGAAAAAAATATGATTACGTTCTGTACGTCGACCAGTTAGTTATTTCATAGAGCCGAAAATTAATTTCTTACTAATAAAACCACTTCAAACAACAATCAATAATTTATATTTGTGAAAAATATGAAAGCTGATATACTCCTACATATTTGACTGTAATAATACTGGCAATAACTGGCCAGTTAGTCTTTTTAAAATATTTTTGAATGTATAATTGTGCTTATTGCAGAATATCGAAAACATTAAAACCACTTTGTTTAAAAAGGCTTAAATTATTCATTCACCATTTAAAGGGAGGAAACTTTAAAATTTGATTCTAATTAATTAACTTACATTTCTAATTACTCTGTTGAGAAGTATGTGAAAATTTTTAGCAACCAAAATGTGAAAATTTGCATTCATAACCAAAGATCTTCTATGTTAGGCTCTTGCTTAAAATAAAGAAATATTTAAAAAAATTTGAAAAGGAAACCAGATTACTTAACAGAAAAAAAAAAATCTTCCGGAATATAAATTATTTCTTTTTTATATTTAATATTTATTTGTGTCCAGTCTTCTTTTCAGAATCAAGTCTTAATTTTAACTTGATCACTGAACACTTTTTAATTAATGTAGGATGTTTAGGGGTCAGCAAACAGCTGAAGCCATCTGGTCTTTCACGCATATTTTTCAACCTGCAGCCATTTGAGCATCTCAGTCTGTTATCGACTGTCTGCTTTTATATGAAAAATAAGTCGCAACCCCTTCCTTTCATGGTAATAAATTACATTAACTCCAATAAATTAACATTAACTCCGTTTCTAGTGTAATGCACCTCTGGTTTAGTAGCTTTTTAAAAAATCGCAGACAAGTCAAAAGTAAATCTGTGTGCCTCAACTGAATTTGATGTTCTTTCAGGAGTTCCTCAAGACTCACGCTTAGGCCCAATCTTATTCCTTCTTTTCAAAATGATCTGTCTTCCTCTTTGCATTCAGTTAGATATCTCTTGTTTGCTGATGACCGAAAACTATTCCTCACAATTACCAGTACCATTGATTGTTCCATTCTCCAACATTCGCTGAACTCTGCATCACAGGTGGCAAAATAATATGGTATTAAATTTAGACAAATGCTCTATTATTACTTATTCTTGAAAATTTAAAAACATGCATGTCGATTACAATATCAATAGTGTTTTTTTTTTAAAGGTTATATATCAGTAAAGATCTGTGTGTCAGGATTGATACTAAATTATCTTTTAACCAAGTAAACAAGCTTACAAATTATTAGGATTCCTTTATAGATTGTCTCATGATTTTACTGTCATGACTCCTCTGATATACCTGTACTGTTTGTTCTTTCGTCCTCCAATTCTTGAATATTCCAGCTGGTTTCCCAATACAAATTGAAATATTACCATGATTGAAAAGTTACAAAACAAATTTTTAAAATTACTTTCCTTCCGTTGTAAACTGTATAATATTGGAGCCATCAATTTAGTTTCATTAAGTGAAAGAAGAAACATGAACGATTTGTTTTTTGTCCACCGTTTTTGCAACAGTGAAATCATTTCATCAGAGTTGTTAGCATATTTCAATGTTAATGTCCCATTAGTCTGCACATGAAATATCTGATTATTCTATCAGCCTTATTTGCGTACCAATTATAACTATTACTCACTTACAAAAAAAAATGATGGACCTAACTAACTTCCTGAAGATGTTGGCCTAAACAATCTTTCTAAATCAGAATTTAATATACCTAACTTCCTTATTTTGTTTTATATAGAGTTTTAATAGGGTTGTCCTTTATATAAATAGGTTTATATTAGATAAAATACTTTTGTGAAATGGAACATGTGCCCATGTATAAATAAATAAATATGAACACAACACTCTATACAAACATCTGGTCGCATTTACTCTCCCAAGTACTCAATATTCCTCAGGGCAGTGTCAAACCCACTGCATCCTAGCTAATAAATGACATTCATAACAATAAATTAACATAAAAACAACACAAACATATATACATTTAAAAATCTGAGACCGCTGCCATGCACCAAGACTACGCACAGGTCGGATGCTATATCGAAATATTTCCTAGAAATGTCAAGCCCTCAACATTTCAAAATGTGCTTGACTGTTATTTTATTTATGAAACCTTTTTAATTTTTTTTCAGTTTCATACATTTTGGTGCTAAGTTACCAAAAGTATCTTCAGATTTGACTCATAATCTATTTTACCTATAATTTCTTTCAGACTTTTATTATTGTTTTTATTTTATTTTATTTTATTTTTTTGACATATATCCTCCAGTTTTGATTTCTCTTTACACATTTATAGCATGGACGGTCTGACTCATACCGAGTTGCTACAGTTGGAACCCTTAATGATGACAACAAAACTGCTGATGGAAAGGTCAAGGTAGTTAAGCAAAGACCGATGAAATCCTTCTCTTCTGTATCGCTAAAACTTTCTGTTGCTAAAATTTATGGTCTTCAATGGTCTCAATAACAACACTACATTTTCATTTTATATTTCATACTTATCCTCTTGACTCTTCTACTCTTTGAGCATGAATGGTGGTGGTCACCGTACTTTAACAAAATCTTCAAAATGCACTTTTAACATGGTTAATCTATATTCTTTGGTTATCAAGTGACTTCTCTGCCTATCATTGTATATTAAGTAAGCTAATTTTTTGTAATTTGATTTTTCAGTCCCGGCGAAAGCCCCCTGTAAAGAAGCAGAGGAAAGGAGACTTAGATGATTTAAAACAAGAGTTGGACATTGACCATCATAAAATATCTGTAGAAGAACTATACCAGCGATTCAGCACTCACCCTGAAACTGTAAGTGTAACATAAATAATTTTTTTAAATGATTCTAACAATTGCACTATTTTTTAGGGACTCACACACGCCAAAGCCAAAGAAAATTTAGAAAGGGATGGACCAAATGCCCTAACACCGCCTAAAACTACACCAGAATGGGTAAAATTTTGCAAACAACTGTTTGGCGGTTTTGCCTTACTGCTCTGGGTTGGAGCTATCCTTTGTTTTATAGCTTACTCTATACAAGCGAGTACTGTAGAAGAACCATCAGATGATAATGTAAGCGTGACTTGTAATAAATAATATCAGTACAGTTTTTCAATAACAAAAATATCTCTTCAGTTATATTTAGGTATTGTACTGGCGGCTGTGGTCATTGTGACAGGCATTTTCTCGTACTATCAAGAAAGCAAAAGCTCAAGAATCATGGAGTCATTTAAAAACATGGTCCCACAGGTAATGCGTTATTTAAAAAACAAAAAATTGTAACTCCCTGCTAGTTCCAGTTCACAAATGTGATTTTAAAATATTTCAGTTTGCAACAGTCATCCGCCAAGGGGAAAAACTGACACTACGAGCAGAAGACATTGTCCTTGGCGATGTCGTTGAAGTTAAATTTGGTGATCGAATACCTGCCGATATTCGTATTATTGAAGCTCGAGGCTTTAAAGTTGATAATTCATCTCTTACTGGGGAATCGGAACCTCAGAGCAGAGGTGTTGAATTGACAAATGATAATCCATTGGAAACAAAGAATTTGGCATTTTTTTCAACAAACGCCGTTGAAGGTAATGTTTGTTCATATTTGTTTCATAAAATGAAAAAAAAGCTTATGTAGTAAATTAAGTTACATGATCTAAAATGTTGTGGAGAGTAACAAATTGCAAGGTTTGAACTAAAAAATGGTCGGAGGTAGCAATTTCTTTGGCCTACAATCTGAGGAAATTACAATTTTAAGTATGTAGGAAAATGAGAGTTCCAAGAGCAGGAGATCGTTAGCTGTGACAGATACCATTGTAATTTTTTAATTAAAAAACACTGCACTTTCTCAACTGTACCTAATGCTTGGAATCCCCAAATCAGTTTTGTATCTATTAACAATTTTAATTCCCCCTCCTTTAAACAAGAAAAAACCACCTATCAGAAGAATTAAGTTGACCCCTCTCAAATGATTTTTATTTTAGTAAATTGACAGACAAGTTCCACTGGTTGGAATAATAACATGTTGATGTTGTTTTTTCCCTTTTTTTTTCTTGAAGGCCCACAGCATTGTTTTGTATGACAATATCATCGGCATACTTTGTTCAGCTTAAGACTGATGAGAGGTCATCTAGGTAGAGCCTCTAGAGAGAATAGCCCAGAATAAGCCCAAGATGGTGAGGATCTCCCGGCCCTAACTTGCACCGTCCCATCAGTTCAATCATGTGCCAGTTCCCTAACCGTAGGTCTTATGGTCCAATTTCAGGCCCTTCCTGGGTCAGATATTGTTCCTCGGGTTGCCTATGGCCTCTCCCGATCCATGTGGCTGCACGCTAACCCCAGTGATGAACGGATTTAAGTCAGAGTAAGGAAGCATCTTTCAGAAATGTTGTATTACCAGTGACCTTGATTTTTAGTATGCCAACATTTATTGTAATACCCTGTCACCCAGTTGAGGGCGTCATGCAACTTATCAGGACAATCACCGTGTCTTCATCCATGGCCATAACCTCTAGGTAAATAAACAAAAACAAGTCTGAGATGTTTGAACAGATGCTATTACTAAAAATAGAGGCTCCAAAATCCAAAATTGGCTTTGTTAGTTAAAGCTAAAGAGTTTTGAAGTGTGGACTTTTTCCCCCCTGTCCTTTGTATTTAATATTAAATATGCATATTTAATAAACCAGATGCTTGAATTATGTCTGTAAATAAATTCTAATAATTTTGTTGGTCAATAGGAAGGAAAATTTTATTTTTATATTCTGCTTGGTAGTCCTGATTCGATTGAGAGAGAATTAAAAAAAAATTGTCGAACTTTTCAAAGGCAAATCGATCCTGAAATGCATACTGTATTATCTTCTCATTTAATCTGTCCTGTCTGCATCCTTACTATCATCTTGTTTTAAGATCGGAAAATATATCACTTACAAGTGATGTATAATTCTGAAATATTGCATTGCTCTCATGTAATAGAGTATTTATATTATATATTATCATACATAACTTTATGTACAGTTATAGGCAAACTTAATTCATACCGTTTTGTTTTGTAGGGACTGCAAAAGGTGTTGTAATCAGTTGTGGTGATAACACTGTCATGGGTCGTATTGCTGGCCTTGCATCAGGGCTTGATACGGGTGAAACTCCAATCGCTAAGGAAATTCACCATTTCATTCACATTATCACTGGTGTCGCCGTATTCCTTGGTGTATCTTTCTTCATAATCGCATTCATTTTAGGTTATTATTGGTTGGATGCTGTCATTTTCTTGATTGGTACGTATTATTGATAGGAACAAAGTTACCTAAGTAAAGGCTTGTCGAAACATAATCATGTCATTAATTTTTATTCCAGGTATCATTGTAGCAAACGTACCTGAAGGTTTGTTGGCCACTGTAACTGTGTGCCTAACACTAACAGCAAAACGTATGGCCTCCAAAAATTGTTTGGTAAAGAATCTTGAAGCTGTTGAAACATTAGGATCTACTTCCACCATTTGCTCAGATAAAACCGGTACTCTTACACAAAACAGGATGACCGTCGCACATATGTGGTTTGATAACCAAATTATTGAAGCAGACACGACAGAAGACCAGTCAGGTAAGCAATCCCAGATTAAAAGAGGAAAAATAATACTGTGGTTTGATTATGTATAAAACTTTTTTATTTTAGGTGTACAGTATGACAGAACGAGCCCTGGATTTAAAGCCCTTGCCAGAATAGCAACGCTTTGTAATAGAGCTGAATTCAAAGGTGGCCAAGAAGGTGTTCCGATATTGAAAAAGTACGTCCTTATTTTTAATTATTTTAAAAAATTAGCAATACTTACTTTTTTTCTGTTTATAGAGAGGTGAACGGTGATGCATCTGAAGCTGCTTTACTGAAGTGCATGGAATTGGCTTTGGGCGATGTAATGTCTATCAGACGTAGGAACAGAAAAGTGTGTGAAATCCCATTTAACTCAAGCAATAAATATCAGGTCATTATAAATACAAATATAAAAATCAGTTTGAGATAAATGTTCTAGAATATAAGTAGATTTATGTCATTTAGGTTTCCATTCATGAAACCGAGGATCCCAATGATCCAAGACATCTGATGGTAATGAAAGGAGCACCAGAAAGGATACTCGATCGTTGCTCAACCATTTTCATTGGTGGAAAAGAAAAGTTGTTAGATGAAGAAATGAAGGAAGCTTTCAATAACGCATATTTAGAATTGGGAGGCCTTGGAGAAAGAGTATTGGGTAAATTAGTGTTCACAAAATTATAAACGGTGATTTCAATACAATAAAAAATCTGTATCATTTAGGATTCTGTGATCTCATGCTTCCGTCTGATAAATTTCCTCTGGGATTTAAATTTGACTGTGATGACCCTAACTTCCCTCTCACCGGAATGAGATTTGTCGGCCTTATGTCTATGATTGATCCTCCGAGAGCGGCTGTACCAGATGCTGTAGCAAAATGCCGATCAGCTGGAATTAAAGTAATAATGGTTACTGGTGATCACCCTATCACTGCTAAAGCCATCGCCAAATCTGTTGGAATTATTTCTGAAGGTGTGTAAAGTTGTCCTCGCTATTTATGCAATGATAATTTTGAATTGGTCTTATTTTCAGGTAATGAGACTGTCGAAGATATTGCTCAAAGACTGAACATCCCCGTTTCGGAAGTTAACCCCCGTGAAGCCAAAGCTGCTGTTGTTCATGGAACTGAACTTAGGGACACTGGACCAGATCAACTTGACGAAATCCTTAGGTATTTTATTCAAGCTTCCAAAAGTCTATATCTAATATTTGTCAAAAAAAGGGATTTATATTTGAAAATTAATTGACAAGTGTTCTGAGAAGAATAATTGGTAGCACTTTTGAATCAAAATCAAATAAACTCAGACTGGCGGGCATATTCTTGGACCTTTCCATAGCTTTCAATATGGTTGTCCATTACTTCCCAAGATGGAAAATATTGGAATTGAAGGTTTGCTAATGATCTTTTCACCTCTTATCTGAAGGGTTGCCACCAGAAAACTAAATTCAGTGGGGAGACATCTCCCAATCAATTACGGACTACCACACGGTTTCATACTTGGCCCTCTCTTATTTTTAATGACTTCATAAAAAGCACTGAGGATGTTTTTATTGTTTTTGGATGATGTTTTAGTTGTCACAGGAAGCACTTCCTTATGGCTGAAAATTAAGCACACAATGAATAAAGTGACTTAGGTTTCAGAGAATTGTCTTATTCTTAATATAAAGAAAATAGTAGCTCTCAGTTTTAGCGATTCCCTTGATTTGGCTTTGGCTGACATCTTGGTAGATGGCGAGAGTCATTGGGCCTACTCTCACAAAGTGTTAAGTGTTGCCCTTGTCAGAATAACATGGGCGGAATATATTTTCCACCTGCAACGTAAATTCGGCTTATCTTGCCTTGCTATAAGAATGCTTAGGCAAATGTAATCAGAGTGGTTTATACAAGCAGTTTTCAGCCAATCCTCAATTACAGACTAATTTTTTGAGGCTCTTCTAGAAAACTCCCGTTGTATGGTGGTTTTTCAATTTGCACTTTTGGAATTTTTTTACAATTTTTTGAATAAAAAAATGAAAATGTTTGCCCTATCTCAAGAGAATCTTTTCAAATCGATGCCATATTGAACATGTTAAATACGGTTTGTCCAATTCAAAAGAGATTCATGTTATGTCCTGGGCTGGCTATTAATACTCATGTAGAGAGCTTTTAAAAAATTAAGAATCCTGACACTGCCATTTTTATATATCCTCTCTTTAGCAATTTTTGCAGTTAAGCATAAGCATATGCTGGTCAGGAACTCACATGTTTCATGGTTATGAAACTGAAGGTCAAATGATTTCCACTACACAATAAAAAGCACACAAATTAACGGTGGAAATTTGTTTTATAAAGTGCAATAATTTTTAACGCCCTCCCACTTGATGTTAATGATTATCACTTGCCTTCATTTAAGCATCGTTTGAAGGATTTTTTATTTCAGAATGCTTTTACAGTGTGGATGAATTCATGAATTTTTAATGCTCAGTATAACATGTAGGCAATTTGTAAACTATGTATTTTAGTAGGCAATGTACTTTGTGTTTTGCAGCAATAAAACTTTTTGTCTAATTTTTTGTTTGTTTTTTTGTTAGGTACCATACTGAGATTGTGTTTGCCAGGACCTCACCCCAACAGAAACTGATCATTGTAGAAGGTTGCCAACGAATGGGTGCTATCGTAGCTGTAACTGGTGATGGTGTGAATGATTCTCCTGCCCTCAAAAAGGCTGATATTGGTAAATATTTTACCCAAAAATGACTTAACTTTGAAATATTGTTAAAATTAATACCTCTACTTTTTAAAAAAACAGGAGTTGCAATGGGTATTGCGGGCTCCGATGTGTCCAAACAAGCAGCTGACATGATCCTTCTTGACGACAACTTTGCCTCAATTGTGACTGGCGTAGAAGAGGGACGACTTATTTTTGATAATCTCAAGAAATCTATTGCTTACACCTTGACATCCAACATTCCAGAAATATCTCCTTTCCTTGCGTTCATTCTTCTTGATATTCCACTCCCTCTTGGAACAGTCACAATTCTTTGCATTGATTTGGGAACTGATATGGTACGTAACATTTTTTTATTTATGTTATAACTTTTTTTAATATTTATGATATTACATATATAATTTTAATTTCTTATACTTAACACATTGTGCCAAATATTTACATAATGTATATTTATTCTTTTTAATGAAAATTTATTTATTTATAACCACCAATCAGTTGTTTAACATTTTCACTGCCGTTAAACTGCTGCTGGAGCACTGACATTCAACATCAAATAGTAGACGGCAAGTTTTGATTGATTTTCTCGTTGTAAACGAATCCATTTGAAAATAATATATATTCAGTATAATGTTCATGCATATGTGTGTTCTTTTTACACAAAATATAACTCTATTGATTGGTTGAAAAATTCCAAGATCTCCATGATTGAAACCTTTATTCAATTTAGTAAATTACATGGCGTTTCAGGCTCCTGGCCCATCATCAGAAACTAAACATAAAGAAATCTCATGATATAATTCCTAATCTCCAGGAGCCCGAAACGTCGATGTAATTTACTAAACTGAATGAATAAAAGTTTCAACCTCGGAGATCTTGGAATTTTTCAACCTATCAGTAGAGATGATATGAACCGTGGAGTTTATAATAAATAAAATAAAATACAATTAAAAAGTCTTGTTTTATTATGTACTTTTTTTTTGTCTTCTTGAAAATATTTTATTAATAAAATTTTCCATTACACAAAAAATATTTTACTTTTTATGTTTGTATAATTAATATTGTTTTTATTCTGTATTTAACTAAAATCCGTCTCAATTCATCTGTTTGTTTACACCGAAAAATCAAATTTCTGGCTACGATTTTGTTGTGAATGGTACAATTCCAATTTTATGCAGCCTGCAATTTTTTATAAATATTTTTCATATTTTTAAATGCACCCAGAGCTAAAAAAAAATTATCTTGGAATTTTCTGCTTTTATTCAACTTTTATTGATCTTATAAGCTTTTTGATTAAATATTAAACGATTCATAAGCTTTTTTCTTCTATTTACACCGATATACCATCACAAAATGCTGCCTTAGTAGTATTTTTTATATATATAAAAGAAAACCATTACTGTATTTATGCTAATTTTTTAAACCATTTTATTATATTTTCAATATATAAAGAAATTTTTGCTCATATCAAAATTTTTTAATTGGCATGTGAATATGTTAAAACGGGACGCACATATCAGATCTCACAAGCTTATTTTTAATCGGTAACAAAAGAATTGGATGGTTAAGAATAAAATAAGTTACATAAATTTGACTTTAATTAGCTAAGTTTACTGGAGAAAAAAATGTTCAGGCTTTTCGTACATTACAATATGTATAGATACGTACGTTTCTTTGTTTTTGTTTTTAATTGATAGATACAAAAGTCATAATTTATTAAAATTAATTATTTAAGTGAATATTTAACATATTTAAACTACATTACATCAATTTGATATTGATTGTATTGCATGTTTTTGTTTGCATTTGAATCATAAATGAATTATTGCTAAAGTTCATAACTTGTCTATCAAAAGCTCCTCAGTAAATTTCAATGAGTAATAATAAAAGAGCAACTTTTTTTTCTACAAAATCGCATGGTTATTATTGGTTCTCTTCTTAAAAGAAATATTAAATAGTGAATGGATTTTGTAAGAATTATTTTCTTTATGATGCCTGACAACTTCTATTATAAATAGTCTATTTTTATTTTGTTACTTTGTTCCAATTCTAAATACAGGGCATAGCCTTACCCTGGTACTTTGAGTTATGTGTTATCCACATACTTACGATGTTTCCATTTCATTTCTCTTGCTCTTATTACTCACTGTCTTATGATGTTTCTTTTTAATTTATATTGCTAAAATGTTTAGTTTTAACTCTATGCATAACTTACTTGAATTAGTGATATATCATGAATATTCTAGTTAGCTATATGAATTGGTATAATATAGTTGTAAAGATTTTTTTTAATATCTCCTTTGTAGGTTTCAGCTAGTTTGCTAAAAAAATAAATCAGTACATTACAGGAATATCCATACATTTTGTAGGCCATATAAACATTCTATACAGGTTTTTAATAGATTATAGATTTCGCAAGTCAAAAGACAAACATACTACTATATTATAAGTAAATAGTCTGTTCAGAATAGTTATTTAGATAATAATTTAATTTATTCACAATTTAAACAACCATAGTTATTTAATATTTTCTATTATGATTAAGAGCTTAGCAGTTGAAACGGATGAAGTAAACAGTGTATTTTTCCGCAGCAATATTATTCTAGCACACATTGATTCATATCCATAACAGTTACCATTTACATTAATCAAATTAGAAAAAGATTTTATCTTTGGTGCTCATGTGGGCTGACTATGCTTTTAAGAGCTTTTAAACCTGAAAAAAATACAGTTGGGCTGTATTAGAGTAGAGTTAAAAGGCAATTTTTTTCTCAAATACTAATTTTTAGCCTTCACTCCTGTGTGTAGCCGCTTTCTGCACACTTTTTATCCACTTCATAGCTCATATCATACCTGCACTTAAGCTTTTTACATACTTAAATAGCATTAGATAGTGGTCCGTTAATAGTGTCAATGTTTATAGTTTTAGCCTTAGTACTGTTTTATTATTGATGTATTTTGGTTCTTATGTGTGGTTTCAAAATGTTTTTACACCATGTCAAATCAGGTTCCTGCCATTTCCCTGGCCTATGAAGAAGCAGAAAGTGATATCATGAAGAGGCAACCTAGAAATCCGTTCACAGATAAACTCGTAAATGAAAGGTAATTTTGCAGTACGTTTTAAATCCCAATCTCCAGGTCCATGAAGCGTCTTCATACCTTATCTATTTTTATCTCTTAACCCCGAAGTAATATTATTTTGAGTCTTTACTACTAACATCTTGTAAAAGGTAAGAATAGTAAGTATTGACTTTGAATTATCTGTGTTCTTATAATATAGGACTGTGCATGGCCGAATCATAGTGCACTATCACATCATTTCCTTAACATCCTTTACATTTTTGCAAATTTCCCATTTGTTTTATTTTTTTTATTTATTTTGGATGTTGTAAATCGATTGTTTGAGCCGTTGAAAAGTACAAAGCAATTCAGAAGGTAGGTAATTAGAAATATGTGTTTGCACTTGTCTTCTGTGTAAGCGTTGCACATGCTAACCCTCTCCCAAACTATTTTAGATTGGATCGTTTGTGTCTAAACCCTTTGTGTTAGCAGCAAAGAAAAAATTTTTTCAAAAAAACAACTCGGCTTAACTATATAAATAACTGTCTTTACGTATTAAATTTAAAAAAAAAAATAGATAAATGTCCTTATTTCTAATAGCATGGTCACACCTCAACGAGTCACCATTAAGCTCTAATCACCCCTTCTTACATTACTGTATTCTAACATCAGCTTAAATATCGCAACAAGAGTAATAAATTAACTTGTTACCGCGCTTGAAACTAGTTGACTAACCTTGTCTGTCTATGCTAATGCTACAAAGATGCCTGCTATCTCGCTGGCGTATGAGGCTCCTGAGTCGGACATTATGAAACGACAACCAAGGGATCCATACAGAGATAACCTTGTCAACCGCAGGTGGGTTTCTCTAATCCTTCCTTCCATAATCCATGTCCATTTCATATCTATTTAAAAAACTTTTTTTTTTTAAATCTCAAACCTGTACAAATTTTATCGTATTTATTAAAATTATATTATTATTACTATTTGATTAAAAACATTCGTTTTTATCACAACGTATTTGTACAGGAGATATGTTTTATGTATTTAATGTTGTTTTTTTTTTTTTAAATCCCTGGGTTTAGATAACAAAGTTGATATAAATGGACTAAAGAACACAAGCTCATCTTATATTTGGAGAAGACATGTTTTTTTTCCTAATTTTCAGTTCTACTGGTTACTGGATAGTATATAATAATAGAAAAATTATATACAATTGATGTGTATTTTGTAATAATATTTTTTTTTAAATACAAATTATATTTCTAGCTTATGCCATTTAAAATTCAATCAAACACATTTTTTAAAAATTTTAATTAAATGAATGATGTTTAAAACGCTTACACTTTATTTATTTATTTATTTATTTTTTTAATGAAGCACTTTTAATAAAGCGTGAATGAACTTTGAGCTTCATATCCATGACTTTAGCTTGTGATTCAGTCCAAATTTCTATCATTACTAGCCAGTCATTTTTTTTAGTCAGATATATCGACTGTTCGTTCTAACAGTTAGCATGTGGAATTTTTATAGGATTTTTATTTAAAGTCTTAGCTTCTTCCAGTACGGTAAGTGTACATTATGTGCACCTCTTATCACAACATTTCTTAACAAATTGTTTTTCTCTTCTGTTCTTTTTATGATTCAAAATAGCTTTTCTTGAGTAGAATTAAGATAAACTTTTTCTAGGTAGTGCACTATGAAGTAACATAAATTATTCTGTTCATAATTATGTTATGCTTGAAAGAACATGTGTTTACATTTTAAATAACAATGTGAATTCATGTTTTGTAAATTTATTTTATTTTTTTGAGATTTATTAGAATAAAAACTAATCAGACTAATGGGTTTTTCAAGGCTTTTAGTTTAAACTCGAAGTATTATGAAAAAATTTGCATTAAGTGATTAATTTACAATGAAAATTTTAATTAATTAACTAAGGTAAACTAACTCTTTAACTAAGGTCTTGGTTGAGATGAAAAAATTTAGTGTCATGAGGAGGATTCGAACCCATTTGGCTAAAGCTAGGTTCAAATCCCACTCGTTTCACTAGCTTTTTCATCTCAACCAAAACCTTAGATAAAAAGTATAATTAAATAAAATAACTAATACAGTCAATTATGACTACTAAATACATATATGGAGTGCTGTAAAAAATTAAGTATAAAAATTAATACACGCTAAACACTGGTTTGTTGTACAGTTTGAAGTAGTCCAGTTGTTTAGATTGATTTTCTATGTTAAACGGTATTTAACATCTATCATCAATGTTACAGGCTAATTTCTATGGCTTATGGTCAAATTGGAATGATACAAGCCGCCGCCGGATTTTTTGTGTATTTTGTCATTATGGCAGAAAACGGTTTCCTGCCGATGAAATTGTTCGGTATTAGGAAACAATGGGATTCCAAAGCCGTCAATGATCTAACAGATTCCTATGGCCAAGAATGGGTAAACAAATTATTTCCGTACAATACACCTTGATAAACACAATTTTATGAATTGTTCTAAAATTTATGTTTCAGACTTACCGTGATAGAAAAGCGTTGGAGTATACTTGCCACACTGCGTTTTTTGTTTCTATTGTCGTTGTCCAATGGGCTGATCTCATTATTTGTAAAACAAGGCGTAACTCCATCTTACATCAAGGAATGAGGTAAGGACGATACATTTATTTGGATGTTAACATCTACCGTTTCGTAATGCTTGTTTTGTTATTTTGTAGGAACTGGGCTTTGAACTTTGGTTTAGTCTTTGAAACAGCTCTTGCTGCCTTCCTCTCCTACACCCCTGGTATGGACAAGGGTTTGAGAATGTACCCATTGAAGTAAGTTCATTTTTTGTTTTTTTTTTTTAAATTTATTTATACACTCAAAGACAAAAACCAGACACTCATATTTGTTGTTTGTTTCAAAATATATTTGGGTATTAAACTTATTGAGCGATATCTCAACTTAATCTCTCAATCAATTCCCGTGCGAGATCTTCTCAACTTAAAACTACGATTTTAAGGAAAAAATTAACAAAATTTTTTTTACTCAAATGTATTGTTTCATCAAAGAAAGTCAATTAACTCACAGGACAAGTTCACTCTGGAAAGGGTGAAATTGAACTGATTTTCTTTATTTTTAGCCAAAAGATAGTAACAGGATTAATAACACTTTTTAAAGGTAAAGAACAAGTTGTTAGGGAGCATCCGTGGCCACAATGGTTTAGGCATTGACACGTTGCTCATTACTGTAAGGTAAACATCCCGGGTTGGAATATAGTGGCCCTTCATTCGAACTGATATACTTACAAACGGACTTTTTTCAAAAATACCAATACCTCAGGTGCTGGTATAATGCTGCAAACCCCCTAAAAAATTAAATTCTCTAATTTCGTGGTCCGCTTGACCAATTAATATATTATAATTAATTAAGATTTTTAGTTGAGATAAGAAAGACAATGAGCGGGATTCAAACTCACGATCTTCGGCTTGATACGCCGTTGCTCTACCATTTGAGCTATCGTGACCTCGATCCACTCGGATACCAACTTCCCATCTCAACCTCACCTTTCGAATTTTCCCTCCTTTTTGCCATTTTTCAAATGTTGTGTAATCGGATTGGATTCTCGACGACAAATGTTATTAATGTTGAGTTTATGTTTTAAATCAATTATTAATCTTTATACTTTTTTTTGCCTTTGGGTGTATTTACCTTGATCTTGAATTGTTTTCTCATATATTTCATGAGCTTGTAAAAGCACAATTTTAATTTTACTTTATATTTAATTTTAGGTTCGTTTGGTGGTTGCCAGCGATTCCGTTTTGCATCTCCATATTTGTATATGATGAAGTCCGTCGTTTCTACCTGCGGCGTAATCCCGGAGGATGGTTGGAACAGGAAACATACTACTAAACATTGCACACAATTGCACACCGCACTCACGTATTGAATCGCCAGGAAGACGTTTTTTTTGGCAAGTCCTTTTCTCACTTTTTCCACATTCAAATTCTAACAGTGACTGAATAAAAGGGATGAACGAGGAATGTTGTTATAACACACCCCTTCACTTACAACCTTTTTATTCTATTACTATTAGAACCTCAGTATAAAAAAGTGAAAAAAGGGCTCACAAGAAAACCACTTTTTGGAAATTCAATATATAAGTGTGGTTTTTAAAATACAAAAAAAAGTAAAAGGAAAATACATATTTACTAGGTTAATTGTTGATTCCTTTTATAAATGCGGGAAATAACTGTTATAGGTGATTTAAAAAAATAAAAAAATGTAAATGTCCACCCCTTTTGGGTTTGGGAGATCCTTTTAATGACAAATACTTATTAAATTATTGATTAATATATCGATTTATAAATAATATATATAAATACAAATTGTAGTATAACCACAAACTATTCACATGGACCTCTGTTTATAATAGTAATGTTAAACTAGTTCGTTAAAGGAAAATTATTTAAGTATGTTATAGTAAGTGTTGAGAGGATAAGTAGAAGTTGGGGGGTCACAATTGTTCAATGGAGGGGGCTTAAATGCGCTACTGCTCAATAACTAGAATTAATGTTTAACCCAAAACCTTATTTGGGCCATTACCATTCATCAGTTATTTTCTTTTCAGCATTTATAACTATGTATTATTAAATTATTTAAATATAAATTGTGATAAAATCACCTGTAGTTATATTTGGTGCTAAGAAAATAATGTTCAAACCTCAGCTGCTGCTCTGCTGACATTCCATTACTGTTGCCTTGCAGCTGCTTTTTATGTGGCTTGTATGCACTCAGCCCCCTCTTATCCCACCAACATTGCTTCAGTCGTACTAATTTGATAGCAGGTAGAATTTAGATTTATATATAAATATATATTTAGGTTAGTTTACCACATTGTTATTAAACATTCACTGTTCATTTTATTAGAGTTGAGTAATTACGGTGGGTAGACGAAAAAGAGTTTACTTATAAATGCACAGTTGTCATGTTTGTATATATATATTATATATAAAATTTTAATAAGAAGAGGTTTAATAACGAATCCTCTTTTGTGGTGGGTTGTGCACGCATTTACATACAGTACAGGCACAAAAAACAAACTCAACTGACACAATCATCTCGAGTGTAGGTTGTTCATAACAAATCAATTAAAAAAAAAAAAAAAATACCCAAATGTGGACCTTTTAATGGAAAAGTATATTATAAGAATTTTAAAGAAATACCCACCAATAACCAACCAATAGCTTTTTTGTTGGCTTTCCCTAAACTTTAGTTACATCTTAGTGACAATAACTTCTTTCTTTTTTCATGTTTTCAGTAAGTTTTAGTATAGCATTATGTGAACTCAAAAAAACTGCCACTTTTATTGTTTGCGTATGTTTTGCCAAGATGCCATTATAAGAATTAAAAAAATAAAATAAAAAATATAAAAAAAAATTTAAATTTATAGGAAAATGTTTGTATTTAAGTCATAATGTGAATGTTTATGTTGATGGTATATCCGGGAACATGTAATAATATTGATTGATACATTTGGGGCAGATGTGTAAAAATAAATGTTAAGTCTGTAGGCAATAATAGATATTTGGCTTTGTTATGATAGCTGTTTTAAGAATCTTCAGCGATATTTTCATAGTGTACCTATTAATACTAAGCCTTCATTCATTCTTTATTATTTTTTATTTTTCAGTATTATTGAGTGTAATGTTTTATATCTAATTTTGTTTAAACTTTTATATTCAGATTCTACATATATTTTATGAAAGATTGACACAAATTGGCATTACGGTCATAAATATTGTTTTATTTGTTGTGGAAAATAAAGTTATTTGTTTAAAAAAAAAAAAAGAAAGAAAAAAGAAATCGGGTTAATTATTAAGTGCATTTGTTTGTCCCTTCTCATTGTCAGAACTTTTTGCATAAAAGTACAAGTTTTTAATTGTATATAAAATCTAAGTTCAACTGCTCTATAATGTGGTTATGTATAGTTAAATTTATGAATTTAGTTTTATATCAATTAATCAAAGACTACCTTTTGTAGGACAAAAAATTAGCATTTAAATAAAATAAATCAGAACTGACGATTTATTTATGGTTAATATAGGTATTTATTAAAATAAGACATTTTTGTTTAGTAAAACTTCATAATAGACACTCGAAAAAGAAAGCCTTTAAATAAATGTGATTAGTATTGTTTGAAATAATAGTTACTTATTGTGTTCAATGCAACCACCTCACTGCATTTATCATTTATTAATTCACAACTTAAGATCATATCCACAAAAAAAAATTGCTAGTACTAAGCACAACTGATGAAATTTCAGTGGATTATCTTAACTATTGTATGCTTTAGTCCATCTAGTGTGTCAAACATTTGACAATAACATCAAAGATAAAGCAGTAATAAAATTGAGTAATTTATTTGGTGCGTAAAACACCAATAATTAAAATGTAGAATGTGATAAAGGCTCAAATAAAAATAGAAAACTTACACTTGCATTTTTTTGTAAAAAGGTAAGTAAATGTTTGAGGGCTAGTAATAGTACGTTTTTCATGATATACATCAGATTGCGACTTAAGTCTGTTTTCTTCATGACTAATCTCGACAAGTCAACGCTTTCTGTAACATACATATCCAATCCAGAGAATAGAGCCAGAGGTCATGGTTCAAGTTTCCTTGTGATAAATTAATTTTTCATTTCAGCCACATCACATAAAAATTATAAATCAATTTAAAATCATTACTTTAGTTAAATATGTCCAACCAAAATAAATATGGTAAAATTTATCGTGAATCAGATGCTGAATTACAAGGATCCTGGCTTTGACCTCATCAAGATCATTAAAATAAAATCATTGTTCTATTCATAAAGTCTCTACAATAATATATTCCACACCAATAGACACATCCTTTGTTCTGGAAATATTCCAATATCGTACTTTTCCCAAAACACAGCAAACCCGTCCCTAAAGCTTCTTTACTACCGTCCAATCAGCTTACTTCCTCTCTTCTCAAAAATATTTGAAAAGATCCTTCTCAAACGATTGATCCCTACACTAAACTCCCTCAACCTTCTCTCAGATTCTCAGTTCAGTTTTCGCCCTCAACACTCCAAAACCCAGCTTCATCTTGTAGACCTCTGTCCTCAACCCTTGAATGTAAACAATACTTCATGCTGTGCCTTTCTTGACATGACACAAACTTTTCATCGTGTGTGGCTTGAGGGTCTTCTGTACAAATTAAAATGTGTCCTTCCAAATACCTTATACCACCAAGGATCATACTACTCTGAAAATTGCCTTCTGGGAGCAGGAGTGCCACAGAGTAGTGCGCTTGGACATAGGTCTAGGGAACATATTTATTTCCTTTTATTTAACACTTCCAAGTCGATTTCATGATTTATAATCACTCATTTTTTAAAATTTTCTATCATTTTAATACTGCAAGATTCTTCATATACGTTGGCTCAATTAAATCTTTATGAAATTGCATATAAATAATACACTTTTAGAAACAAAAGAAGAAGAAAAAAAACAGACTACAACTTTGCACATGTTTACAGCATAGTTCAGTACTTAATCATAAGAACGACATAAAACAAAGCAAGTTATAATGCTAATTCTTTAATAAATACCATGTTTTGTGATAGTTTTAATTTAAAGGAATGTGTGCATGATATATTTTGATGTCATTAAATCAATCAGCTGATGTTTTCTTTAAAAAAATAACAAAAATATTTAAAAAAATCAATTCACTTAACAACAAGAACTAGCCGAATCGGTGTATTTGATCCTATGATTCATTCAGTGGCTGGATATTCTTGATTTATGGTATTAGGATGACATCGACGGCAAAATTTTGAAAGTTACTGAAACTTACAGTAAATATTACAAATTACAAAGAATTCTTACAAAGAAGACAGTGCTCGTTCATGCCTGATGTTAATGAATTAAACGCGTTTTTTGCTTCCATGTCCTCTTCCTCAAAACAAATTCCATTTCTGCTCATCTAGTTCACTAAAAATTGTCCTTTAGTTTTTCAAAATGTTTTAGAAGCCATACTTTCAATTAAATCGAATGCTACAGGTTCCGATCTTATACTTACTAACCTCCTCATTTTCCCCTTCCTGTTACTTTAAAATACATAACATAATATAAATACATAACATAAAGTCCTCTCTCATCTCATCTTGTTTTCCTTCAGCCTGGAAGGATGCTCAAATAGTTGCTTTACCCAAGTTACCTAAACCCACCCTTGTAACTACCGCCCTATTAGCATTCTTCCATCACTAAAGCATTTGAGACGATTTTATTTAAACAAATATCCTTATTTATTTACTCCCATTCCCTCATATCTTTAATATTTGTGAGACAGCCCTTCTCAAAATCTCATGATATTCTCCTCGCCATTGATGATAATAAGTGGACTATTATTGTTCTAATTGATTTTTCCAATGCATTCGGCTCAGTAAATCATAATTTGCATATTTTGCAACTGACACTTCTTTTCAGTTTTTCTTCTACTGCTATTAATCTCATCACCTTCTATTCTGACAGAACTCAGAGAGTTAAAACTTCAAATTCTATCTCCTCTTCTCTCTCAATTTCAACTGGTGTACTGCAAGGCTCTAATTTGGGACCTTTACTTTTTTCCGTGTTTCTAAATGATCTTCCATTAGTTCTTAATTTCTCCCAATTTCATCTTTATGCTGTTGACTTTTAATTTAACATTCAAAGTCCTACAAACAACATTTCTGAAGCATTTCTCTGCTCAAACGTGATCTTCATTCACTGAATAAATCCCAGCCCTTATTAATTTCCATTAAACCCATTAATACAGATTGCCTATCCCCTCAATCAATGGCTCCCATATTCATTTAAGCCTTATAGTTAAAAAGTGAATTCACGAAAATTCTGCCCTGATCATCAGAGAAGGTGTTTCTCTTTTGTTCATTCTTTGATACTTGTGGCAGTAGGTAATGACCACGGTGGAATATCTAGCAATTTAAAACCTTCAACCGCCGGCAAGGTATTCCCTCCTAATCTCAACATTTCAGTACCGCGGATTCCCAATGGTCTCGTCATAGTTCTTAGGAACGAATACATATCTTGGTTAGGGCTATGGCAAACTAAAGGAAATAAAGGATGAAAAGGCTTAGACCACAGCCTAGCAACAAACCTAAGAATTGCTTCCTCCCTGAAAAGATATGGAGAAAGGACATGAGTTTCCCGAGAACTCTTCCTCACAAGAAGGCCACTGGCCTATTCGGCCTTATCGGACGTTTTGATTCTCAAGATGAGAGCTGACGCACCTCCGCATACGACGGAATGGTGTTACCGCCGCACCATTGGTGTAGAGGTGCCCCAGCCCCTAGGCCAAGACAACCTCGCTCTCCGCTTGTTCACTCCGAATAGTCGGGCCCGTATTGTGCATCGGGTCGTATGTTGCACGCAAAGGGTTAACAGGCCGAAATACATCAGCCTGTTCTCCCGCGTACTCCCTAGATAGAGAAGGCCACTCTGTCTCCTTGAGTATAGGGGCTCCCCTAGCGTGGAAACTTCCAGCCGCGGTTTTGTTTAAAGTGGAATTGCTAACCAACCCTAGATGAGCACCGCCTACGGTAAAATCTCTTATCGAGCTTAAGTTTTAAAGCTCTTTAAAGCACCTGTTATGCACATTCAAGGGACGACATAGGCTTAGCCTACCTAGGTGGTCCGATCCTTGGCTTCCCCAAGGGTACCATGCTGGTCATATGCACAACAATGCAAAGTATACTTGAGTCAGAGCAACCAATTCACTACCCGTTTTCGTTCGCTTACTCATGCATTCGAGGGACTATTCAGCATAATCATCGTGTCCTCAAAGCCTATACGCTGTCTCCGGTCCACCGTCCCCCATGAGGCCAGGGGTAATAACACTGGCCATACGCAAACTTCACGAAAGTCACAAATAGAAGACAGCCTCTAAGTTCCCACCAGGGGCATCACCACATACCACCATGAATCCATTCCCAGTGTAACTAGGGCTGAATTTGGAACTTTTCAGTTACCCCATGGTACAGATGGCTATACACCCTCCCCCATCTATGTAGACAGGATCTGGTGCACTGGCCCTTGTGTGACTCTGCTAAGGCACCCGCCACCCATGCCGACCCTAGGCCGACACGAGTACAGCTTGTGCTTTAGAGAGGTTGCCACACCCTCAGGGCTACACCTTTATTTTGTGCCCGGATACCCCCCTTGCAACCAAGGGTTGGGAGAGGTCACAGGATAGAATGAAGGAACTCGGATTGAGAAAAAGGGCCTTGGATGAGATCACGAGGTGAGCCGTTTCGGGGTCTCGAGCCTCAAACCACACTAAACCACCCGTCGTTTTCGTAGTTCCACACAGTGGGCTATGACTCCCAGGGTGGGTATGGAGAAAGGACACCAGCATCATTGCAGAGACTATATAAAGGGCTTTCTCTAAACACCCCTAACAAGTAAGGTAAAGGTCCCGGGTTCGAATCCAGCGGCCCTGCATTCGAACCCGACATACTTACAAATGGTTTTTTTTTTTTTTCAAAAACACTGGCACCCCGAGGGTTGATATAACTTCTGCTGTTGCGAACCCTCTTAAAAAAGTATTTTTAAAAAAATTCGATATCCGTGCTGAAGAGTAACTAAGTCTAAACTTTGCTCCTAAGTACATGCTGAATATTTTTAAAAGAATGTCTCTATTCGCTCCCCAATTATAATTAGCAAGGAATCTCATCAGACCTAGTATTTTTCTTCCTGAATTAGACAATTGAGCTATTTGAGGTTTCCATCGAAGGGTTTTGTTGAAAGAAACGTCCAAATATTTGACAATGTTGACTTCCTTTATTTTAATGCCAGGAAAAGCTGAGGTGTTTCATGATGTTTTCTCAATCTAAAAAAGTGTACAAATACCATTTTGAACAAAAAGAATTTGAAACCCCACATCATCATGTCATTTTTCGTGACAATGTGTCAGTGGTGTTTTGTAAAGTTCTTACTACGCTTTGGAGATTTTTTCCAAATATTATTATTGCTATTATTATTTTCTATGTTTATAAAACTAAATTTATTTCTAATATAGGTACATGTAAGGGGGCTTAAAGCCCTCTTGGTACCATTAAAATAAAGAAATATATGCCTACATGAACAACGTTTTTTGTACATGCCCAAAACATGGGCAATCATACTCATTAGGGAAGTGCTTCACTGTCTTTCATCTTCAAAGCATTTGTACCTTAGAAAATCTTAAAAGAGGTTACAATGGCAAAAAAATACTCATAAGATCGGATAGCCAACCAGCTATTAAAACATTGGCATATAAAAAAATCATATCAAACATGACAACCTAATGTTATCTTGGGTGCCAGGACACAAAGGCATTTTGGGAATGAAAAGGCAGGCAAACTGGTTAGCAGAGCTTCTGCAAGACCATATATACGCCCTGAAACTATTTCTGGGACAACAAAAACTAACATATAATCGTCCATGACTGACTGGATCCAGAAAAGACAATAGGAGAAGCGGATAAACTCTAGAGGTGCTAGACACAGTAAGCTTGTGTTAAAAACAATCATTACCTAGGAATAATCATTACTAGGAAACTGCTACAATTAGAGAGGGCAAAACTCAGAGTGATAGGACTACTGGTCACTGCTGAGAAAACATCTACATTGGTATATTCAATGATGACCCCATTTGTAGCTTATGCAATAAGAAAGAACAAACAGCCACCCATGTCGTCTTCGAACGCAAAGCAACCGCTCAATGAAGACATATCCTGGGATACAGAGGTATAGGCAAAAAGCATTTGAAATTGTAAGGAATCCCTGGCCGAAGTAGGTGACACCAATAATCTCACCTGGCATGGCCCCTGCGCATTTGGGACATAGAGCAATAATAAAGTGAACATGTTGGCCAAAAACAAGCCCTTCTGTGACCTAGTAACTTGCCACGAAAAAAAGATACATACACAAATGGAACTTTAATGTGTCCAAAACTTGGTGGAGCAACACCATTCCAGATTCCTAGAAGGGCTATCTGCAAGACTTGTAAAGGAATTACTGGAGAGAAACCTAAAAATTCTGGCTCGACTCCTGAAAAGGCATTGCCACCTGAAGGCAGGTGCCCAGGATTGGAATACAGACAGAAGAAACACTGAGCAGATACTGCCAAAAGAAGAGTAGACTGCAAGACACTATTGAAAAGTTGAGGGTCTATTTAGGTGAAGATTCTTGCAACTAGGAAAGGAAAAGTCCCAAGCAAGATCCTCTAATAAGCCTGCTGCTGGAAAGGCTATGGAGGTTGATTAACAACCTGTAGCTAGCTAGTTGTTTATAAAATTAGAGGAGAATAAACCTATTCAGATCGAGATGCAGAAGGCCTTGTGGCCACTTCTTTCATCCCCATCACTATCCCTGGGATGCAAGGAAATCCCAGGGAAAGGAATTGTAGCAATAACAGTTAATTGACTTCTTTAAAAGAATATTAGAATCGATTGCACTGAATTAAGGATCTAGGAACAATAAGCCAAAAGGCTGCAGTGCTTGGGGGACAAAAAATTCCCGACTTCCTAGCATCATCATCATTAACATATTCTATGCAACTGCTCTGAAATAGCTAGGAGAAGTATATGGCACATGGGAAAACTGTTCTAGAGCTGTATAGATTTTGATACAATACCTAGCAGAAGAATTCTTTACTTCATAAAAAAATGAAAATGTTCCAGGGGTTTCAATTTTTGATTTGAAGTCCGAGGAAAATATATTTTTACCTTAAGTTTTATGAGCGGTTGGAATCTCGGAAGTGACGTCACCACTCAATATTTTTGAACAATCGAGGTTGCCTGATGACCCATCCCGATCCCTCCATTCGTAATCTTTCATGTTGCTGAGTCCACTCCCACAAATCTTGTTGGCTTGTGTTCCTGACGAATTTAAGTCTACGATTAGGATTAAGTGATTAACTCGTCTGAGCCGGTGCGGTGTCGGAAAAGAACTCAACAAACCGCGGGTGCCCCCGACAGGGGATTTCGCCAATGAATCGACTCTGCAGAACGCATCGCAGCCGGTTCTGAATCCCTGCATGTTTACGACTAGAAAAAGCACGAATCGAGGTATTTATTGTTGTCTTTAAGAATTGGACAGATGCGATTTCACCTAAAAATAATTCGGTTTGACTTTAATAATGACAAACGAAACTAGACGGACCCAATTGTCTGCCATGAGCCAATTCAATCTGTAACACACCAACTCTGTATAGCGAGTTGTAGAAGAAAACGCAAGACGTGATTTTTTTACGAATTTATCTTGACCAAAATCACCAGCATCACATTGAACATGACCTGAACATCCTCCTGCAATACTCCTTAAAGCATTCACTCCATCAGATATTGGTGTGGAGGATATCGAAAAGGCAGCTCACATATCAAGAAGTCGAAAGGTCTCGGAGGATCATCACCCGATTAACGCATCTTTCTGACCAGGTGGTTAGTTTATTCAACTGGTTCGGAACATGTAACAAATGATTGGGAACTGCCTGAACACGTAGTTAACTTGTTCACCCATCTGAGAGGCCAACAGGCACAAGTACTGCTCATTCCTATCCCCAGTGGTTGACTGGTTGAGTCGACTCACAAGACCCAACTTGCCCCTCCTTCTTCACACGTCATTTAGTTGAGTCAATTGAGTTCACCATACGGATAAGGATAGGGATTAAAGAGGCGGTCACATTCCTTATCCACCCCGATGTGTGTAGTTCTATTGTGCTTCTCTATTTTTATAACTCATGGGCTTCAGGTCGTTAGCCTTGCCAGCGGCTCCTTAGTATAGGATCTTACTAGTGTCTTTTCCTTTCCTAGATGCATGAATCTTTACTTATATAGATAGACTCTATGTCTATGACTCTAAATGTATTCTGCGGTCTTCTTTTTTCCTGGCAGTGTCTGTTTCTTCTACCTGTACTTTTGGTGAATGTGCTTTCTTAGGCGGTAGTGCCCTGTCAAGTGTCCAACCAGAATGCTGGTTCTGTTGCAGTTGCCCTCCAATAATTCTTTTGAAAATCTTGAGGATGGCTCTTCTATGAATCTCTTTGCGTGTCCCGTGCCAGGGGTGCTGCTTCACTAGGTTTTGGTTTCATTCAGGATCCATTTTTGTATGTATCCTTTTTGTGGCAAGGTGCTAGGCCATAGTAGGTTTCAGGATCTAGAGAATTCGTATTGTCATATTTTTGTATAACACGTTCACTTTCGCATTGCCTCTATGTCCCGAAGGCCCAGGGTGCCAGACGATATTTGGTCATTACCAATTTTTTTAGCTTGCCTATCCTCGATGAATAAGTGTGTAAATTTAACACATTGTATTCTACGTTATTTAATATTTTCAGATCACTTAAGAAATTAAAATGTCTTCCACTACCAGTGCTGCAGAATGTTCTGCAGACCAGGGCAAAGAAAAAGAAACCGCAGGAACTACTGTTCCAGACGGCAACCAGGAGACGACTGAAAGTCGTAAAATTGTTGAAAAATCGGCAAATCACAAGTGAGAAAATTCATTCGTAATTGTTACACTTAATTAAATACGTAAATTTATTTGAAAATTTTCAGAAATGAAAAAGAACAGAATAAACAGGAGAAGAGTGAAGAACCACATGCCAGTAATGCCCGCCCTAAAGATAAAGTTTATGAGGGAAACTCGATGAAATTCGAGTTGCATGTGCTTAAAAACATTTCAATTTATATTGACAGGAAAAAAGAGCTGAAAACTATAAAAGGTGATCTCGACAGATCGATAAAGGATCCTTCAACGATCACACCTTTTAGAAGGCCAGGTAAGAACACTAACCAGGGAAAATTTTGTAAGGGAATATTACTAAGGTGGGAATAAATATAATAATAGTGAATAAAATCACTTTTAAATGATCAAACTATATAACTAATAATTATTCTAGCATGACTAATTATTTTTTCAAGATTCAAGATTTGTTCAAGTAGAATGAAGACATCATGTTGCTGCAAATAATATTGATATATCCATTTGTCATTCCAGCTGGGACATTTCTTTGTTTTAGTATTTTTTCATTCTTTCTGTGCACACTTAATTAAATTTGATACACATAACTTGCTTGCTCAAAAATTTTTAGCATAAAAAAAAGTTTCATGCAGTTGCCATTAACATTTCTGTAATTTCTTAATGAAAGTGAATTTATCCAAGAAAGAAGAACAACTTTCTCAATTAGAAAAATCATTAATTAGATATAATAAATTTAATCAAAACATTCAATGGATGTAGTAATTAATAAAGTAAATTATTTCATGATATAAATTAATTTTGCTAAATAGCAGATAAGTTCCAGAATAATGAAGACAGCAGATCTGTGCAAGAAAATATCGGTATCTTAAACGTTAACTTTTTTCTTTGCATTATTTATTAATAAAAAATATCATTTTGACATTTTGTTTAATTATTTTCTTATGTCATATTTATTTAATCTTTAAACACTTTATTTATTTTTTTTTTTTAATGGAATCGAATTTTTCAAGAAAGAAGAAAGAAAAACCTTCTCATTTGCTAACAACCAGGTGAGTTTCATGATATCATTAATTTCTTTTATAGCATATTTAAAAAAAAAATGCAGTCATTGCTCAATTTAAAAGTAAAATTTAAAATATTTACTCCAGTCAATCTTCCCCATATGGACACTTCTTATTTTACTTTACTTACACTATTTACTTTACTTGGAAAATACTTCTAATAAATGGAAACAGACACTACATTTATAAAAAATTTTAATGAAAAAAAATCTCTAGTAAGCTGAGAGCAGGTAGAAAAATGACTTAGGATTCCATGGATGACTCTTGGACTAGACCACGAGCTAAGAAGGGTTCATTGTTCAAAAATAGTGCACCATAGTTTCTATTTTACTTGTAATTAAGGTGGTTGTTAGAAATTAACTTATGTTTGTGCATCCTCTCATCGAAGGTGAATACGGTATGACTCAAACTTTTTTTTGCTTTTCTACAATTTTTATTATTATGAAATTTTTGTACACCCTGCCGTCTTTTCAAGAAAATGTAAATACGAAAAGTTTTGCCTAGGATCAGTGGCGAGGGATAAATTTCAGGGGGTGTGCCTTAGAAATTAACTTATGTCTTCACATCCGCTCATTGTAGCTGAGTACGGGACTCAAAACGTTCAGTTTTTTTTTTTTTTTTTTTTTTCATGTAAATGTAAATATGAAAAGTGGTGAGGGATAAATTTGAGGGGGTGTGATTTACAAATTAATTTATATCTCCACATCCGCCCATCGTAGGGTTAATGTGATAGGACTCGAAACGTGCGGGTTTTGGTTTTCTACATGTTTTATTCCTATAAAATACACTCAGTTACGTTTTCAAGTGGACCCTTCTAATAACAAACAAAATCCCATTCCTGAGTAGTGCCCATTTATCTAAGTTTGACTGTATTATATTTTCTTATAAAACATCATTAAGAAGCAAAAAAAAAAGAACACAGAAGAAAGAAGAACGAAGAAAGAAGAACTAAGGAACAACTCTTTAAATTTTTGAAAATGAATATGTCAGAAACATATTATTTTTTTTACTTTTAATATAATTATAATAACATACTTGTATCTTTTAGAATAAAATTTTAAATCAATACTGTTGTGCTTATTAGCCTAAAATTTCCTAATTTTAGTATGAATTAACTATATTTTTAAGTACAAAAACAATATTTACATTTGATTTTTAAAATTCATCAAGAACATGAAGAAAGAAGAAAAACTATATAAAATGATAACCTTTTGGAACTTAGTTTTCTTAATTTCATTTAAGAGAACCACAATTTCTAACTTAAAAAAAAAATAATAATCCCATTAACCTTATTGACCTTATTAATACTGAAAATTTTAAGATTATATCTCTTAAAATATATTATCAGAAAAATAATTTTAAAAAATCGTAAATTCCTTTTCAACTTTGTAAACAAATGAATTTTATTAATTTTAATGTGGGTTTATTAAACCGTATTAGTAATAAAATAATAAAAAAACAGAAGCAGGCGGAAAGAAGATTACCAGAAGAAAGAAAACAAGAAGAAACAAGAAAAAGAAGATTATTCAAGGTTATTGAACGTTAAAAAAATTTAAAATGTTAAAAATTTTATTTTGACAAACATCGTAGTGAGGCAGGTAATTTCACCACTTCTTCGTGGTCAAATGTTCACAGCAAAACCAGTAAGAATAGACCAGATTAGGCTGACCAGAGAGAATCAATGTATTGTTTTTTATTAATAATATTTCAAATAAAGTGTTTGAGTAAATATGATAATTAAATTCAGGAAGAAGTATAGATGTTTTTTGTTTAATATAGACACAATTCCGCAGAAGTTTTTATGCTTGGAAATATAAGTGAAAAATTTGATTATGTAATCAAATGACATTAACCACATGTAATTTTAATGATAGGTGAAGGATCAAAGCCAATATTTCAAAGGCCAGAATTAGAACGTGTAATCAACAAGCCTTTGGATGATGATTTAGGTAAATAATATTACAATTTGAACATTACAAGTTCAATATTTTCTTAAAATATAAATGTTTTTTAATTGGTTATTTAAAATTTTATTTAAAAAAAAAAAATAATAAAAAGACAGAGAAAAAAAGCATGACAGTTATCGGAGTAGAAGCAAAGAGTCGTCTCACAGCAGAAAACGTCGTTCGCGCTCGTGGTCTTCTGACAGGAGGCATAGGTTGGTCAATTTTTACATTTTTGTAATTTCCACTTAACAGTAATATACTACTTTTCTGTTTGGCATTAGACAATTTTGTTATGTAATTTTTGCAGACATAGAGAATACCTAGAAGAAAGAGTCAGAAGAAAATATAGGCATGCAGACCACTCTCCAAGTCCAACAAGGTTTGAAGAATAAACATAGAAGCTGACTTATTTCCGTTCTATCATTTTAAAATTGGTTATACAAAAAGAAGAAAAATGAAGAATAAATTGAAAAGAATTGCAATTAATATAATTTTGAGTTTGAAGGAAAAACGCCAAATATTTGTTATTTCAAATCTATTTTGAACATTTAATTATTATTAAAATTAAAAATATGAATGTTTCTCAGGTCTGCATAAATGTTGGGCAAGGTAATTGCAAAACTGTAGTTTTTAGGGTTTAATTGAGATTTATGTTGACAAGTTGGCTAATCGGATATTAATTCCAGTTTTAATTTTTACAAAAGATAGAAAATGTACAAGGAAGAAAATTGTAATGTGGATTAAAACCTAAAAAAAATATTTGAGCAGGGAATTTTTATTTTTAGGAAAAAACCTCAGTATGAAATAAAAATTGATTGTAAGATTTAAAAATTTGCTGACATTTATTTACAAAAAAGCCATTGTAAAGATTTTTTTAAAACAAAATTGATACTCAGATATCGATTAACGGTCACTAATCTCTACACAAAATTGATACTTTTAAATGAAATATATCCTTTGAAATTTCTCTGAAAAGGTTATAAAAAGAATTGATTTTTTAAGGAGATTAAAACTAAGGCTTTTTAAAGAAGTTTGGTTACATGAGAGGCATAATTACTCTAAAATAATTAAACTTACCAATCTTAAAAAGGTACACTATATATTTTACGATCTCCCTTTAATTTAGAAAAACAAATCCGTAGAAATAAAATACAAGATTGATTGTTTTAGAGTTTATTTTATAAATTAAGAATATTTTTTTCAAACTTATAACTTATTTCACAAATAGCTGTAATTAATGGGAGTTGGGTACGTGGTTGCAATGGTTAAGGTGTTGAAACAGCAGCCCTGCATTCGTATCTGACAAATAATTTTTTTTGTTTTTTCAAAAACACCAGCACCCTGGTAGAGTTAGTTGTATGACCTTTGCTGTTACAAATCCCGATTTAAAAAGAAAGAAAAAAAAAGCTGTAGTTAATCAAACTGTACGACTTTATTCAAAAATAAGTGGATCATCATTTAATTGTCTAAAATCAGATTTGTTTGTATTGTCTAAATTATAATTAAGTAACAGAGTATTTTTAAATTTGTAGGGACAGATATTTCTCTGTTGATGAAAGAAAATCAGATTACAGAAAGAGTAAAATAAGAAGACCCGGAGAAACTCGCGAAAGAAGGTCTCGATCACGTAGTTCTTCTAAATCTGGAGATCGTAGTAAGTTGATAAAATGACTTGAAATAATAATTAATCACTTTTTTATTACGATAAAATAATTTACGTTTATTGCTCTTCCATTAAAATCAAGAGATTTTCAGAAGCATTAGTAATGTATTATTAAAATAGACCAATAATGCATTATGCCATGTTCAAAATGTTAGTTATATTAACCCTCAATACCACAGATTGTTGCATATGGTTATGTCGTAGCTAGTTCTGGCACTATTGGTTTTGCGCTACTCAGACACTCGTGTAAATCGCAAGTAGTCTTTCAAAGTCATCATGACTTTCCTTGAGCTAATGCTTACCTCATGTAAGTTTGTCATTTCTCAAAAGTTAGTGAACTGCCATATATCCATCAGACGCTCATGAGGCACAGGAGGCACTCTTTTCCATCTACTTGGATTACGAATTTGTCATTATCTGTTTACAATTTGTGAAAAGACAAGTAAAATAAAGAAGAAATATCATCGTTTACTTTAAAGAATAATGGAACAGTTTTTTTTTTAAATATTATAAGTGATGCTCAATATCTCTTTTACTAAGCGTGGCGAGGGCATTTGATTTACTTGTTATTTTACTTTTTGTGTAGAAGGAAGGCAAGGTTAGAAAAAGAGATATTCATACGCATTATGTCATGCGATTGCAATTTCACAATGTTATTAACAAATTATTAATTATTATTTGGAGATAGAGAGATGTGGTCTGATGTGACGGTTTAGAAAAACATTTTCTTTATCGTGCCAATGTTTCAATGTTTATTGAGATCATCTTCAGGGCTCAAAGTGTTTGTTTTCTGTGTAGATTTGTCATTATTGTGTCATGTTGAGAGTGCACGTGAGTGTGAGACACATCTACACAGAAAACAAACACTTTGAGCCCTGAAGACGATCTCAAAAAAGATAATAATGTTGGCACAATAAAGAAAATGTTTTTCTAAACCTACATCACACCAAATAGCATCTCACGATCTCCAAATAATCATTAATTAATGGTCACTAAACACCACACGCGTTATTAACAAACACACAATTTTATGTATAATTATTAATATAATTTTTTAATATTTTTTGGACCTTTTGTTAGAGTAATACAATTAACTCTAATTGGCAGGGAATGAAATAATTTTGACCCTAGTTATCCCATCTGAGTCAAAAATAATTGATTTACTCTCACCTAACAATAAGATTTTGTATTTTTGTCCCAGAAGCAATTTCTTTTTTTATCCATGTGCTTTTGGAAAGTTTAGGCGTTTAATTTTTTTTTCTTAACAATAAATAAAATAAAAAAGGCGTTTTTTTCACTATCTTTCAGGATAATTACTCTCTCTTAATGTCGAACTTACATTTTCAGTACTGATAACTATTTGATAGTCTCGTTCAGGTTGTCCAGTTTTTGAGGCTTTAATATTGGATTGATTTGATTTTTTTTTTAAATAATTGTCCACTTTTTGCAGTCAATAAGTAATAGAAAGTCTCCCAGATTTTAGCACATCATGTAGTCTGTCTTCATTTGTCAATATACTAAATGTTTAAAAAAAAGTAATATTTTGAATTGTATACATTGGTAAATTTATTTGAAAACTAGTATTTTTTTTTAAGTTAAGCTGGTTTCCTTGGGAAAAATTAAAATTCAATGCGTTTTGATTAATTATCGCCTTAAGATTAACACCCGCGACTGATTTTTGTCCTCATTCAAAATTAAAACTTATCTTCCTTGAAAATCACTAAGGAATCAATGTATAAAATTGGTTTATGCGATAATTATATAGATAAAAATAATTCCCAGTGGTGGTAGAAACCCAGGGGTGTTTACAAGACACTTTGCCCTTTTTTTGTATACTTTTGAAAAATTATATAAAAATAGTGTTTTAATTTTTTGTTTTCACTTTTTTTATGATAACATTGTTTCTTAATGTTCCTTGTAACTATCTTAAAAAAATGGAGGTTAGAAAAAAAAAACAAGGAAACTGCAAAACAGAAACATTTGGACGACGCTGTATGTACTCTCAAAACTTCTTACATCAACTATTGCACTTGCAGTAGAGTCCCAATTTGATTTAGTTGCAATTTTATCATGAAAATTTGGTATTAACCGTGTGCTGGATTGAAAAGGCAGTGGCAGTGGATTTGACCCGCTGGTCTTAATTTGCCTTGTCCTAAACCAAGACAATTTGTGGCATTAAAGGTTAATATATTGATTTAATTTTTCATTTCGGCCTAAATGACCCATTACAGTAGACTCTTGTTATCTGCAGGGGGGATACGTACCAAGCATCATAGCGGATAATGAGAACCGCAGATCATAGGAAACACCTCAAATTTCCGGTTTTGAAGCATTTTCTTCTACCTATATCAATCAGACACTTTCTGTATCATGTGTGCCTTTAATAATTGCTATTTAATAAATACCAATGTAAATGCTATTTAATGACAATAGTACCAATAATAAAAGTTTTATTAGCAAAGTCTTATAAAGAAAACATACACTTCTAAATAAATATAAAATAAACACTCATTGCACGAAAAGTTTTCCGTCAGCAGAGTTGCTACCAATGTTTATTACATACAGTAAAAACTAAACCAAATATAAAATGGATCACACACATTTATAATTGATGTCAGTTAGTGCTTACAGCATACTTTACAAATTAATAACAGCCGAAAGAGATTAGAGAAGCATAAATTAACAAATAATAAATAAAAACAAATGATTTCTTTTTAAATAATTAAACTCTTGAACTAAAAACAATCTATAACTCAGCTCTTCTTTTAAAAAACTACATAGTTTACCCCAGTTGCTACCATATGTACACAATTCATTTTCAAAAATAGTAGTTTGCTGGAAGAAATTTAACTGGTCTGGAGACAAAATTGGACAGTTGGATATAAAATGAACTATAACCTCGACCTCTCTTAAATTACATAAGCGGCACAGTTGACAGTGATCAGATGGAAAAGGTCTATAATTTAAAGGCAAGGTTTCGCTTCTGCCTTTTAAATTGAACTTAACATCCTCAAAAGATTTATCTACAATATAGTTTAAATTGTAATTCATTTAGGGATAAGTTTTATGATATTGTCTTTATGAGGCTTTTAGTTGTACATTAAATGTTTCCTTATTAATAACTTTAAAATTAACTTTTCTAAATTGGATTTCCAAGCTTTTGCCGAATTATCATTGAAATCTTCTAAGTGCATGTCACAGCTTGTAAATAGATTTTTCCAGTGTTCAAACCACAGTTTATTTTTCGAAATACATTCAAAGCAATAATTTTTGGCAATCTACAATCTGGTAGTCTTAATAACTTTAATATGTATTTAATGTGTAATTTAAAAGTAAACACATAATTTTCTACAACACATTCCTAGTTCTAAATAATTAAAATATATAAAGAAATAATTCTTTAAAAAAAATCGTTGGATTCTTTCCACATAATCATGCCTTTGTTGCCGTCATAACTGGGTGTCTTAACACATATGGATCTCAAGGTCGCTTCAATTACCATACATTTTGAGTCTATAGGAATAATGGGATTTTGTACTAATCTTGCACACATGTAGTTTAGCCCAAACGTAGCAACATTGAACTTTTCTTTCTAATGGATGCTAAAGGAAAGTGAAGGTGTTATAAGAACTCCTAAGTATTATTATAGCTTTTTACAACTTCTATACTTTGACCATCTAAATCCCAACTCTGTTTTAGCATATCTCCCCCCCTTCTTCCTGCATATCAGTATTTTGGTTTTTCTGGATTCACCACTAACCTCAAGCTTTACAGTACTTAAAGAAGTTATCGTTTCTTGCTTAACTTCTGATTTGTCTGAAATAAACACATCATCAGCATATGAAAGTTGTCGCACATTCACATAGTTTATAAACACTCCAATGCAACTTTTGTCTGCCATATCATTTAAGTATATTGAAAAAAGGGTAGGGACAACAAACAGCCTGGTTTGACCCCAGCCTGAACATCAAAAAATTCTGAAGTATCTCATTTCCTCCAAACAGCTGCATGAGTCCCATCATGTAAATGTCTTATAACAACGTTATGTATGAACTTATGTAAACTTTTTTTTTTCAATAAGAAAAAACTATGTATGGTACATAAAGTTAGTTCCTCACAGGAAAACTATATGCACGTATATACATGAACAGATATGCACGACATCGAAACTAACAAAAAAAAAAAACATTAGGGGCCTGAAAAAGATAAAATTTCTAAAAAAAATTAATTAAATTCCACAAAAGTAGATGAATCAGTGAAACTTGCTTTTTCAGCTTTCTCAAAAAACATTGTTATAGGAAGGCTGTTTTGTCTGATTTTTCAACTACTGGAAATTTTGTTGGTGTGAGTCCATTGCTTGAGTTAGCAATCTGATGCTTCAGTCAACTATTGAATAGAATATGTTCTATGATTTTGTCTTTCAATTTTTGAGCTAATCGAAAGATTCTTCCAATTTTTTAATTGTCCATCCTTGTTTTTCTCCTATTTTCATTTCTTCTTCCTCTTCTATGGTCAATCTTCTCTTGAATTTAACTGGAGGGGGGGGGCGTGGATGAATACAAAGCGTGGATAACGAGTGTCTACTGTACAATTTTTATTTCTTCATTGATTTCATACAATCTCTCATTGATAAAACAGCTGTTTTGTATTATAACTCTCACTTATAAAATAGTAAATTATTCTGACAAAATTTGTCAAAACACAACTTTTACTTGTTAAAGAACGAAGTAACAGCAGGGAAAGCAGTGTTGAAAGTGAAAAGAAAAGGCTTGTAAAATCGAAAGAAACCAGGCACACGGATCATCATATAATGCCGGAAGATAATGTAAGATTTATTCCAATTTTTTAAAATTATTATTAATAATAGTTATCTATAAATTCAGAATGACGTTGAATTTAAAATGTTATTGTCTATTAAAGGAATATATGAGCCATGAAGAAATGGCAATGGGTCCTAGAATGATGCATCCTATGATGATGCATCCTCCATATTATAGACCTCAGGTCATGTTACCTCCGGCTATGTTTCGTCCTGGGCCTGCCTTTATGCCCCCTTTTAGGCCTAGATTTCCTCGAAGTTAGTATACAATATTTTTATATTGAATGTATTTCTTAATTATTTATCATTTTATTGTTTCGATTGTTTTAGGATTTAGACCGCCGAAACAGCCTTAAAAGAAAACTGTACTGCCAGTCTTATATGCACATACTGTTAAACAAGAGAAATAGTTTATTTTATGATTAAAATAAACAAAAGTACTGATTTATCATCAATTAATTTTATTTTGCTAGTTTTTTGTTTTGTGAATTTTTTGCTTAGCCAAATCAGGAAAATCAAAGGAATCGCCTCTTATTATAGATAGTTTAGTAATATATTTAAACTATTACTAAACTATTAAAATAGGTTTGTTAAACCTATTAGTAAATGTCAAATCAAGATGGGTTTTACATTGTGGAATAACAGTGAACAAGGATTAGTTTATAAGGATATTATTAGTATAGTTTTCACAATTAAAATTTTTAAGGGTCATATATTTAAACTATTACTAAACTATTAAAATAGGTTTATTAAACCTATTAATAATTGTGAAATCAAGATTTGTTTTACATTTTGGAATAACAGTGAACAAGGAATTAGTTTATAAGAATATTATTAGTATAGTTTTCACAATTAAAATTTTTAAGGATCATATATTTAAACTATTACTAAACTATTGAAATAGGTTTATTAAATCTATTAAAAACTGTGAAATCGAGATTTGTTTTACATTTTGGAATAACAGTGAACAAGGAATTAGTTTATAAGGATATTATTAGTATAGTTTTTACAATTAAAATATTTAAGGGTCAATATTAAATTTAATATCACATTTTTTTCATTAAGAATAACAGTGAACAAGGATTAGTTTTTAGTACAATTGAATAAGCTTTTAAAATAAAATAAGTTTAAATTCAATCTCGAATTGAAATTTTTCTCATGTTGAGTATAGCAGTGAATGGTTTTATGGTTATTTCACTGTCATTATTCAAGTAATTTTCTTTATTAACTCTTCAATATATTTTTGCATTAAAAATAGAACACAACAAAAAGAATTACCTTTGAGAAAAAATATATAAATGTTATTCATTTTGGTATCAAATTTTGATTTCAGTCCTTCAATTTAAATTTGGAGCCAGCAGTTAAATACAGTCAAATTTAAATTTTAATAATTAATCAAATAAGAAAATGCTCAATTTTTTGTTAGAAATAACAGTGTTTATTTTGATAGATAAGTGAATTTTTGGAGATCACAACATAATTCATATTTCAGCGACAATTTCATTTAACTTAAATAAAAAGATTTATAAATAAATTAATTAGTCAACATTTTATTTGATTTTATTAAATAATTTGATGTGTTTGTTCAAATATTAATTTATTGTTCGGAATAGAATAATTTTCTATGTTACAGTTACAGTTTAAAATTATATATTTTTAAAATAAAGATTATAGTTTTTTTAGCAATGGGATACTGTATGAATTTTTTAAGGTAGTAAAAATGCTTTAGTGCTTTTTAAATATGACTGACAAATACTGATAGTAAAATATTTTGTGTTAACTTTTTTATTTTAAACAGAAGTCATAAGAACTTTTTAAGAAAAAGTACTTACATTTAACTATAATGTATCATGATTTAAATACATCATAAATATTAACTTGAGAAATCCAGCAGTTTTAGGGTATATTTTATTGTATTTATTTTTGTAAAATTTATAAATAAATTTTAATATCGGTTTTGAATAATATTGACCCCCATATTTATCAAACACCAAAAACATATAAAAGGAGAAGACTCCTTTAGATTTTCCTGAAATAATATGTAACATAATTTACTGCATAATATAAATATGCATATTTAATAATTCCTATTGTCATCTGTACTTAAGAAAATACATTTTTGTTATATTTGTCATTATTTGGATCGAATGTTGAAATGTTAATTATGGATTTTCTAACTATTCATAGAAAAAAATCATCTGATAATTATAAATGTCAGCATTATTTTAATATTATGATATTTTATTTCTTGCTTTATTTATGTATAAGAACAGTTTTGAATGTACTATCAATGTAATTACATGAAATTCTGAAAATCAATACGTATATATACTTTCAAGAAATTTTTTTGTGTATATATGTAAATTTTTTTTAACTTTTTTGATGCTGAAACATTGAACCCCATGTAATTATGTATGTAATGTATTTGTAAATTCTTTGGTAAATAAACAATTGATTACTGATTTACATATAAGCTCAAATCTGCACACACGTCAAGAGCCTACACTTCTCCCATTCTCTGGCAATTTCAGCTTTTGTAATTTACAATATATTGCCGGCAGACCTCGAGCATCACCACCCCAGGTGTTGGCAGTCCAGGGTCGTTTCTGTTTTTTTTTTGGGGGGGGGATTGAATTAGGATCAAAATCAGGCAAATCCTTTCCTCTACTGCAACATATATAGTTCTATTGTGGAACCCTTACAAACTATAACTATAGCTTGGAATGTGCACTTTTTCTATAAGTCTAAGCACCTTCTTCAATCCCTCTTTGCGCTTCTCTTTTGGTGTGGAATGCCTTACCGAAGGGGCTGTACAATAACCACCAATGGTTCACATTCACAAAGGATATATGCCAGTTTCTCTGGTTCTTCCTGACAAATTCAACATGTTTCTCTCTCTGTTTTACCCATCTCCTTACAAAAATTATATGATGGTTAAGAGGGCCGGTATAGATGGCCTGTAATTCTTTCGCCCTCCTTTTTAAGAGACTTATAAATCTATTGGTTTGCCTAATACATGGTGCTTTTGTCCAGTGTTAAAGGTTTTCTTTCTTTCTAAAGCCATTTTTCCAGTTCCAACTTAAGCACACACTCTGATGCACCTAGTTGTGGTTCTGGTCCCATGGGTGAGAGGGTAGCCCCTTTTTTGGCCAGTTGGTCAGCCGGTTCATTTCCTTATGCCATCATATCCGGGAACCCACTTTAAGGCTATCTTGTTTTGCTTTCCCAGAGCCATTAGGCAATTTAAACACTACCAGACAAGTTTGGAGTTGAAAGCATATGCATTGAGTGCCTGTCTGTCTGAAAGTATGCAAATCTATGCACCTTTCATAATTTTCTTTATTAAACCTGTGCACAGTTGTATTGCCTAGTCTCAGCTTAGAAAGGTTAGGATTACAGGGGGGGGGGCTTTGCTAGGGTTTAGTTCAGACCTTTTATCCCTACTCCTACTCCCTGTTCCATCTTTGATCCATCTATGTACCACATTAGGGACGCGTCTTGAAACTTGGGGTTACCTTTCTTCCATATGTCTCTATTATCTATGACTAAGGTCTTCAAAGTTGAGTTTTTCTCTCATTTGGTCAGGTACTGTTATAACCAAATTATTCATTTTAATTCTCTCCAGAATTGTCTGACTCCTCCTTAGATCTGACTTTATTTCCTTTTATTTCAGGAGTCTGTTGGCACTCTCAAAAGCTACCTTTTTACTTAAATAGGTAAGGGTGGAAGGTGGAGTGCATTGCTGTAGTGGGGCAGGTATGCACACTAGACTTCATAGACTTTGTATCTTGTTCTGTGTCTCAATGTTCAGTGTTTTTGACCATACTGGAGCTACCAGGAGTCTGACCGTGGTGAATGACCAATCAGCCATCTTAAGTTTTATTTCCCGGTTTTTGCTGCGTAATCTCTGGCCAATGCTTACTGGCTTAGTAGTGCCTTGGCTTTATATAGAATGTTGCGTATGTGTTTTCTCCATTTGGGCCTTAGGTCAAAGGTTATACCTAGGTACTTTGGTAGACCTCAGTCTTATCTGTCCAGCCGATGAAGTTGAGCTCTGGGGGCTATCAACATCCAGGTCATTTCAGTCTTAACGCAATCAGTTCCTAAATCCAAACCAACCCATTCACACTCTCATTCACTCTTAGACATTCATTCCTATTTACATATCATTCACTCATGTGATGGCATACTTGATAAGTACGTTCAGTCAAAATCTCTACTATTTATGGTTTATGCCATAGTGTTAGACATCATCACATTCTGAACAAATGCTGCTCAGGCGCTTTCCTAAAATTAGGCTAGCCTTTGATCAAGTGGGCACCTGGGCTTGTTCTGGAAACTCAAAAGCATCCTTTCATTCACTTATTTATCTAACCCTAAAATACTTTCCCCCATTCACTGAAGTGGACATTCTGAAAGGCAGCATATTACCACAAGCTTGATATTATTGCATCATTCTTTACTCCTATTATATAACTAACCTAATTGATTGTTGATGGGGTACTCAATATTCTAAAGTGGCTCCAGACATGCGGTATTTGCGGAATGCCGATTGCTGCCAAACATTTTGGCCAAGTCTCGTGATGCTCGTCTTGGATTTTCTAAGTAGCGTGCTTATGTACACACACATGTAGGGTTTGTATAATCAGCCAGTTCGTACAGAAACAATGAATAGATATTTGCCAAGTGCTGTTCGAGTCCTCAACTTATTACTAATCGTGATGGACAATAGTGGAACCGTGTTGTTTTGTGTAGTGGCTACCAACTCAGTCACAGCAATCAATCCACTAGTCGGGATTCGGCGAACCTTTGCTAGACATTCGGCGAATCCCGTTTATCTGGAGCCACCTTAACATCGGCCCATTCACACTACACATTCACGCTAATAAATGCATTTACTCTAAACGTAGTACTAACTAAACACAACACAAAACTATCAGTATTACATACAATAAAACAACCTCGTTTCCTCCAAATATTGGAACAGGGGACTCCAATGGGCCTCCCTTACATGGTCTCTGCATATAGCTAAGTAATTGCACCCTTCACTAAGCAGGACACATTGAGCAACTTTTTTCTACATGCTGGACACATACGTACAAAAGTAAGTGTGCCAACTCGCATTGCTTAACCAGCTCAAGGAGACTTCTCATATTCCTACATGCTTTCTATATAGTGCCAAGGAATTGCACCTTTAGGACCTACAAATTTATTATTTAATCTTTTAATGTTGTAATAGGAAAATTGTGAGATTTCTTCGTGTGGTCTGTGGGGTGATGAATTGGTCAGACAGATCAAACCAGTGAGAACAAAATCAGCAGCGACCAAATTAAATAATTAAAAGGGTAAAAAAAAGTGCGGTCTTGCTGAGTGCAGCATTTTGTCATATACTCTGTTTTTTTTTTTAAATTTANTTTTATTTCTTTTTGTTT